ATGAGAGGTTGGCTCCCACAGTGAGGGGGTTCACAGGACCTCTGGACGAGGGCCTGAGACAAGTCAGCATCTGAGAGTAGCCTCTGCTGAGCAGTGTCCGCATGCCCTCACACGTGAAACTGTGTGTGTGTAGCTGTGAGTGTGCGTGGGAAAGAGGGTACACCGTAATGGGATCTGAGTGTGTGATGCCATGTCTCTATGTGCCTTGTTCTGTAGGTTTGTATGTAACTCTGAGCAAGACTGTGAAGCTTCCTTGTGTCCGAGTGACCTGGAGGCAGGAACCTCCACACAAATATGGGTGACTGAGAAATTCTGCCAGTCCAGAGCCCTGGGGGCCTCTCCACGGCAGTGGGGCTGCCTAGCTCTGCCAGTTTGTGTGTGTAGAGTTGTGCGCCTGTCAGTATCGGCTGTCTGGTGTCTGTACATTTCTGCGATGTGTGTGCACGAGAGCGTGTGTTAGGCTCCGTGTGTGACTGTGTGTTCATTTAGTTCTTTGTGTGTCTGTGCAGACAAAGGTGAGAGTTGTGCATGCACATCTGTGTTGTCTGCCTGTGTGTCTGTCTTTTTGTCTCCATGGTTTGGATTCTGTAAACCAAGCCTCCTCCTTCCCACCCCTGACGGATGTGTCCACCTCAACCCTGGGAGGACCCAGGGTCACCAGCTCAGCGGGGAGAAGGTAGGGAGGACAGACAGGTGACTGTTTATCAACACTGAGAGCCAGGTCCCAAGACCCGTGGACAGCCGCCCTGCCTGTCAACTAGTCTATAGCATCTTCCCCTTTCAATCCATGCAATGGCAAAGGAACAGATATGTTTCTGTCCAAGCCAGTCTGTCAGAGTTGATACCTGAGTAAGTGAGTGGATGGTGAAGAATATTTACTGAGCACCTGCTGAGTGCTGGGGCACAGTGCTGGGGATGTGGCTGGGCCTGGACAACCTCGACTCAGGTTTGAATAATAATACAGCCCAATGAAAGAAGAGCAGATTGTCCCCAGAGAGTGATGAACCCAGACAGGCATAGAGGGGAGGGGGGCTCTCTAAGGGAAGGGTGCTAACCCCGGGAGGGCTCCCTGGAGGAGGGGACAGAGGAGCTGAGACCTGGAGGCAGAGAGTATGAGCTAGAGGGAGGAAAAGGGGGCATGCTCCAGGCAGAGGGAAAAGCACATGCAAATATCTGAAGACCAGGGAGACAGACCACATGAAGAAGAGGAGCGGGAGGTGAGACTGGGGTGGTCGGCCCCAGCCAAGTCATGTCAGACCTTGTGGGCTGTGGTGATTGAGGAGTTTGAACACAGGATGCAGGGGTACTGAAGGCAAGCTAAGAGTCTCAAGTCTGGACTGCTCTGCCTCCCTGAAACTCCACAGACACCCCCTCCAGGAGGCCTCCAGGATTGCTCAATGGAGAGTGGGCCCAGCCAGCCAGTAACACTCACTACTTAACCCTGGGCCCGGAGGAGCCAGCAGTTACTAACCAGCTCGGCTCTGCCCTCTTGGAGGTCACAGTCGCCGCAGCAGGACATACACCCACACATGTGCACCCTCTCCTCTCATGCCTCAGAAACTCTCACAGACCTGTCTTTTGGAGCCAGAGCCTTGGCATCACCCAGGGGCTGCCTGGAAACACAAAAGACTACACCAGACATGTGATGTAACCAGATTGCCCAGCTGGCTTAATTTCACAGAAACAGCTGGAAAACCCTGTTCTCAGGTTTAACCTCCCTGTGCCTCAGTTTCCTTCTCTGTACAATGGGGATAATATCAGAACCTACTTATGGGGCTGATGTAGTGTGAGGATGACTGAGATAATGCATGTGAGCAGAGCTAAGTGTTTACTTCCCGTATCTTCCTCCTCTTTTTTTTTTTTTTAAATCATTTCATTTATTTATTTTGGGCTGTGCTGGACCTTCTGTGCAGGTTTTCTCTAGCTGCGGTGAGTGGGGGCTATTCTTTGTTGTGGTGCTTGGGCTTCTCATTTGCGGTGGTTCTCTTGTTTCGGAGCACAGGCTCTGGGTGCGTGGGCTCAACAGCTGCATTCCCCCAGCTCTAGAGCACAGGCTCAATAGTTGTGGCACAGAGCCTCGTTGTTCCACAGCAAGTGGGATCTTCCCAGACCAGGGATTGAACCCATGTATCCTGCATTGGCAGGCAGATGCTTCACCACCAAGCCACCAGGAAGCCTCTCCTTGTCATTTTTATTATTAAATTTCAGAGCTGGAAAGGCCTTTCAGAGCCCATGGCCATACAATCTTCTTGCCTTATGGGTGGGGATACTGAGGAACACAGTAGCAAGGGTTTCGCCAAAGGAAGAATTAAAGAATGAGGGCTCCCTTTGGCAGAACTGGGTCTCCCGGGCTGTTTACAGGGTGCTCTGAGCAAACGTAGCTGACACTGCTTCCCTACCCCCAACAGGAACAGGAGGCTCAGGGCTCCCCCTGCTCCCCACCACCTGCAGAGCCCAAGCCCTTGGGAGCCAGAGCAGGGGTCCTGCCCTCTCCCCTACACTCAAGTCCTCCTCCTCCTGGAAGCTCCCTGGGATTGAGCCTCATGGAGAAAGACTTGCCTTGCCACTGCCATGCTGCAAGGGCAAGGTATGCATGTCTGCGTGTATGCTCGAGTGAGACTGCATGAATGTGAGGGTGTGTATGTGTGTGTGTGGTGTGTCTGCAGGGCCAATTTCTCCCTTAGTTGTGGACGGCATGGTACTAGGACCTATGATAACTTTAGGGGCCCGTGTAAGTGTTTAATTTCTTTTCTTTGGTTGGCCAAAAAGTTCATCCAGGGTTTTCCGTAACATCTTCTGGAAAAACCCAAACAAACTTTTTGGCCAACCCAATAAAATCCAAGAAGAACTGAACTTCTAGGTCAAGTGAAATGTTTTAATATTCAGTATTTGTCTTTATACCAATGCAGTCATGAAATAATACTTTTAAAGATGTCTTTATGGAGAAAGAGGCCCACATAGGCAAAAGTACTCAGGACTCATGAAAGCTGCAATGTGATCTGGTGTGTCTGGTGGCTTTATTTTTTATCGTTACTTATTTTTTAAATGAATTATTATTTTTTTTGGTAGCACAGCATGTGGGATCTTAGCTCCCTGACCAGGGACTGAACCCACATACCTTGCCTTGAAAGTGCAGTCTTAACCACTGGACTGCCAGGAAAGTCCCAGGGTGGCTTTGTTTTAAAAACAAAAAAGCCCCTTCATTGTGCCAGGCATGTTCCAAGATATTCACTTCACATAATCCTTCCACCAGCGTGATAAGCTGGGCACTATTTCTCCTCTTTTCCAAGGACAGAAAACAGGCTCCAGACGTCACCAGCTCAAGTTCATACACCTACTAAGTGGTGGGGTAGAATGTAAGCCGAGGGCACCTAGTTTCTGGGTCTGCCTGTGGGTAGGGGGGCGGGGGGAAGAGGGCAGTAAACGCCCAGTGCCATGAGTGTCAGCATCTGCCTGTGAATATATCAACATACATAACTCATTTAATAATAATTAAAAGCAGGGGCTGCATTCTTATCCTAGATCTGCCACTAATTTGCTGTGTGACTCTAGGCAAGTGACTTCACCTCTCTGGGCCTCTATTTCCTTGCCTGTAAAATGATAGTTCCTACCTTGTAGGAGTGTTGTGAGAATTAAATAAATTAATACAAGTGCTCAGAAGAATTAACACATGATTTTGTTAATCATTGTGTGTAAAGAGCAACCACATGTATCTATAGTGAGGATGTGCCTGTCACGTGTGTTGGTAACCATGTGAAGGTGTGTTTCTGTGTGCGGTGTGTGTGTGTGTGTGTGAAACCTGAATGCCCAAGTGTGCCCCTTTGAGGATATGCCAGCAGTTGTGTGGTCATATGGGCCACCTCGGTCGGGGTATGAAGGTCTCTGGGCAGTGAGGGTAGGCATTTGTGTGTCTCCTTTATTCCGTGGGAGAGGAGATGAGGGGCTTGGACAGAACAGGAATGAGGGGTCACTCCCTGTCTGATGTTGGAGCCAAGTCACTGCCTGCTGGCGGTTGCTGTGTCATCTCCTAGTCCCCTCCCTACTCCCAGACTGGTGGCAGACAGAGGGGGCGTGGGGGAACGAGGTGTTTGAGGCTGGGCTTTTTTCTCAACCTCCCAGTGTTGAGCCCATGTCCCTTCAGCCTTCCCTATCTCCCTCCCTCCTCCCCACTTTGGGGACAGGGAATCAAAACTCTTCTGGGAATGAGGAAAGACCTAACCCCTCCAGTTGGCTTCATACCTAATGTGTGACCAGGAGCCAGCCCTCCCCCTCTCTGTGCCTGTGGGATTCAACAGCTTTAAGGTGCTTCTTCCTCTGTGCCCTGGCTGAGCCAGGCTCCAACCTGGGAGGGAAATGCCAGGAACTTATACCCTAATTAGACTCTTGAACCCTATTTCCTAACTGGACATCGAGGTAAGCAGCTTGCTCCCCGCCCCCAGCTCCCCCCCTCCCACCATCACCCCCACAGCTAGACCCGGAACCTGGGTTATAATAGTGTATGCTGTGAGCAGACAGGGACAGGTTTGCAAGGTGTATCACTCCCCACCAATGGAAGTTGTTATTTAAATAATCCAAACACCCAGGTTTTTCAGGGACTTTCACTGAAACAGGCAGCTCTCGGAAGTCAGGAAGAGAACGAGAATCCTGGGTTTGAATTTCCTGAGATGAAATCTTGGGCAAGTCGCGATCTATCCTTTTCCTCTTTTATTAAATGAAGATTTTCCTCCCTTAAACTTCTGAAGCTGTACAAGGAGTGAAAATCTTGTATTGAAAGGCTTAGTACAAGAGCCGGTATTTGGTAAATGCTAACTACGTGGTATCTATTATTATTATTAGATCATTATTATTACTATCATTTATTTCCCACCCCACCCCCCCACCGCCGTCACACGTATTATTTCTGACTACGGATAGGATTATAAAGCAGAAAGGGGAGCACCAGCAGCAGCAGGGACACTTCACCCCAAGTTTCGTTCCCCTTCCCCCGCAAACCCGCGTACCTCCCAAACGCCGCACCTCTGGGGGCAGCAGGGTCCAAGATACACACTCCTTGTCCATCCGGGAAAAGTGAAGCTGAAGTTCAGAGAGAAAAAAAATTTTTTTTTCAAGGTTGCACAACTAGTCAGGGCAGAAACTCGTGCGAGCCTAGGGACACCACCCGCACCCCCACTTTTACCGAGAGCATCAGAGTCCCACCCACCCGTCTCGGGACTCAGTTTCCCCGCCTATGTGACTACAACCACAGACCCAGAGTCTCCTTTTGGAGATTGACCTTCCTCTCGAGAGAGGGCGCTGCACCATCAGGGGAAATGGGAGGGGCGGCCAGAGTGAGATGGACCCCTGAGTTGGGGTCTCCCCAGCCGGGATCCTTTGTCGGGTCAGTCTAATAACCTATTAATACCAGCACCCCCCCACCCCCACCCCGCCACCCCCCGCCGCCCCGGGCGGCGCTGGACTGCGCAGGCGCAGGCGGGTTCCGCAGGCGCGCCGGGCGAGCTCGCGAGCGAGCGAGGGATTCCCTCTGACGTAATTGCTAGGATACCAAACAAACACTCAGCCGCGCCGGCCGAGCTCCTTATATGGCTAATTGCGTCACAGGAACTCCGGGGAGACCGGCCGGGATCCCCTCCCGCCGAGTGCTCCAGAACGCAGCCCCCAAGACCCCCAAGGCCACGAGGGTGATGCAGATGATCAGATCGCGGCTAGGACAGACCTCTTGCCGGACGGTGCGGGGCTGGGTTCACAAGGGCCGGAGATATCGAGAAGTTTGCCGAGTGAGGGACGGGTGACGTCAACAAGGGGGCCGGGCCCCGGGCATATAAATACAGGCTGGCGGATCCGAGCTTCATTCATAAGACTGAGATCTACGGTCAAGGCTGGGACACGCGGAGCTGGAACTTGATTGTTGTGGTTCTTCTTGGGGGCTGTGAAATTCGGTTTATTTTCTTCCGGAAAGTTTTTGGAAGGATTCTTCTAGATAATTCTACATTATCTTAGGATCGACTTACTTTTTTCTTCATCTTCTTTACTACTCCCTCCTCCCCCGTGGGACCCGCCAGACGCGTGGAGGGGACCGCACCCGAAGCAGATTCTGTACAGCAGGACAGAGCTTTCCGCCTCGGGGAGCGATCCCCCCTCGCCCCCGGGTCCTACGGAGCCTGGACTATCAGGAGGCACAGCGGCATCTTGTGGGGGCCTGAGCACCGCAAAGGAATTACACGGAAACTTTGCCATTGTTGGAGCGGGACGCTGCCCCGACCCTGAGTTTCCCCGGACAGCGCACTTTGGGGACGCGCTCGGCTCACCCCGGACTCGCACCTTTCTTCCCCCACCCGGCCATAGCCTTGGCTTCCCGGCGACCTCAGCGTGGTCACAGGGGCCCCCCTGTGCCCAGGGAAATGTTTCAAGCTTTCCCCGGAGACTACGACTCCGGCTCCCGGTGCAGCTCCTCACCTTCCGCCGAGTCTCAGTATCTGTCCTCGGTGGACTCCTTCGGCAGTCCACCCACCGCCGCCGCCTCCCAGGTAAGTTCTAGAGGGTTGGGGTACTGCTTTGTGGTTTATAAATTTTTTAAATTCAAGGGTGGAGCGAGCAATCCCCTCATCCCAAATAAAACGCGTCCAAATCTAGGATCTGACAGGGAGTAGGCTCACGGCGCACTTTGCAAACTGCAGAGTCCGGGCGTGCTTGCAATTGGCTGTGTGTGTGGAGGGCAGGGAGGGAACACAGAGGGGTGAGCTTTGGGGGTGGGGAGAGCGCGCCGTTCAGTGCAACGTGTGAGAGGTAGCAGGGCTGAGAACTTTTAGCCGGTTCGGGGACTGCCCCTCACTCAGGTCACCAACCTGAAGCTAGAGCGGTTAGGCAGGTGGGGAAAATCCCGGAGAAGCTTCCAGTAGCCTCCTCTTTTTCCTCCTCCATCCTAGCGCCTACTCCGGCGCCGGGTCACCCTCGACCCAGCGGGAAGGCGGGCCTCGAACCCTCGGTAGCGCTGCCTCCGCCTCCTGCGCGGAGACGTAACGGGGGACCCGTGCGTAACGGCTGACGCGCTGGAATCCTCCGTCTGACGCGGGGCACGCACGGCGCGTGGCGCCCCCTTCGTCCGCCCCGCCCCTGACGTCCCGGGAGCGTTCTATTTTGGAACGCCGGGCCACGTTGCTAAGGGAGGGGGCAGCTCGGCGTTCCGATTGGCCGCCGCGGCACGAGCTGTGGCCAATCAACTTTCGCTTCCTATTTGTAGGGCGCAGTTTCCTTCCCACAGTTCGTCCCCGGAACCTGCGGTTCTCCGGCACTAGGGTCTCTTTCACGGGCCTCTAGAGGCAGAGCGAGGGGATTCCTGTCGCCACAGGAGCGATCTTCTGCGACCCAATGAGTCCGCAAGGACCTGGCAGGGTCCTGTCCCTCTGCTCTCAGGGTCAGAGCGTGTCTGTGTGCCAGGGTTCCTTTGGGAGACGTAGTGACCGTCACCCACCCCTCCAGGCACACACAGACACATTCTCACTCCCTCTGTTCCGGACGCCGGGTGCCTCCGGTGTGTCAGAAAATAGGACTAAAGCCGCTAGCCCTGGGGGATCCAGCCAGGTGGTCTCCAGGAGCCCCGCCCCCTCTGAGTTTCCTGGGCGCTGATTGGCCAATGAGCCAGCCCATCCCTCACCACGCCCCCTGCGAGAGTAGTTGAGCCTTCCGAGCAGTTCTAGGATTACATTTTGGGGGTGGGGGGTGGATATGAGCGCTGCTGGGGCTTGGGGTCTCACGACCTACCCCACCCCGCCTCCGCGACAGTCCGAGGGAGCCGGGCTGCTCACTTGCTCTCCTTGTCTGCCCACCGTAACCTGTCGCTTGTCAGTCTCACTCTGGGGAGAGACAATTACTTGAAACGTTGTTCTAAACTCCTAGGCCCGTCCCCCAAGCCTCTTTTAACTGGGACCCCCCGCCCCTGCACTGGGGTCTCATGGACCCTCTAGTCCCTCATCCCTGCGCTCAGAGGGGTGTGTATATGAGTGTGAGTGTAGAGGAAGGCTTAGCCTAAGGCCTCTCCCTCTCCCTCCCCTTGCCTCTGGGGTGGGGGTGGGGTGTTGTGGCTGTGTGTGTGGCTGTGACTCCATCCCGGGGCTTCTGTCACCCGGCTGTGTCCAGCCTCCTCCCCACCCCCCACACCTAAGAGTCACCAACCCGGGGTGTGATTCACCACCCGCTGGAACCGTGCAACCTTTCCCCGAGGAAGAAGGAGGAGGTAGAAGCCAGTTGCACAGAAATCCTCTCATTAACCACTGCGTCACGGTGTAGTGGAAGGGTGGGTGTTGTGGCTTTTTGCCTGTGACACACGCATCCACAGCCGCTGGCCCGGTGCTCACTCACCGGGTCGGGGGGTGTGTGTGTGCTGGGCGTGTGTGCGTCGGTGTCTCTGTGTGTGTGTCTACGCCTGTGTGTGTATGTGTCACCCCGTAGGAGTGCGCCGGCCTTGGGGAAATGCCCGGCTCCTTCGTGCCCACGGTCACCGCCATCACAACCAGCCAGGACCTCCAGTGGCTCGTGCAACCCACCCTCATCTCTTCCATGGCCCAGTCCCAGGGGCAGCCACTGGCCTCCCAGCCCCCGGCCGTCAGCCCCTACGACATGCCCGGAACCAGCTACTCCACGCCGGCCGTGAGCGGCTACAGCAGTGGCGGGGCGAGTGGCAGTGGCGGGCCTTCCACCAGTGGAGCCACCAGTGGACCTGGGCCTTCCCGCCCAGCTCGAGCCCGGCCCAGGAGAGCCCGAGAGGAGACGGTGAGTAAGGGGCATCAGGGGGCTGAGCGGGAGGAAGCAAGAGAGGCAGGAACTTTCCCACTCTTGGGGTGAGGGACCACCTGCAGCCTCAATACTGCAGACAGCCTGTCCTCCTCCCCACAGCGAGGACTTGGTCCTTTTCTGACTCCTGGGGGTTCTTGACGAAGAGGAGGTTCAGGATGGAGGGGGAGGTACACCGTGTCCCCAGATCTCACCATCTCTATTTCTCCTACTCAGCTCACCCCAGAGGAGGAGGAGAAGAGAAGGGTTCGTCGAGAACGAAACAAACTGGCAGCAGCAAAGTGTAGGAACCGGCGAAGGGAGCTGACTGATCGACTCCAGGCGGTGAGGATGGTCCCAGGGGTGGGGTGGGGTGAGGGAAGGCTGAAGGGGGGGCTCTCTCCCCATCTTCTGCTGCCCACCACCATCTGTGCCTCCATCCTGAACTGAGAGCAAGACGTTCCACATGTGGAACTGGATACAGGTGGAGTCAGCCAGCTCACACACACTGACCCTCACTGGCCAGTCCTGTCCTGGTTGATGACCCCCTCTTGCCCCTGACCACTTGCCTGGCCTTCACTTCATCCTGAGGGGGACCTATGAGTGACCTTTAATAGAGGGATGGTTCACTCATGTCCCTTTTTTGGTCTTGGGCAAGTGATAACCTTTTTTGCCTCAGTTTTTCCATCTCTTCAATTCCTCATTGAATCTCCCAGGTTCCTTCTAGCTTTAACATTCTGGAGGGTCTGAGAAACGAAATCCTTTAATCCTATGTCAATTCCCCCGCCACCTGCCCCTGCCACCTGTAGTTCTATCTTGGGCTGGTGGCCTGTGCCAAGGTGCCCCTCTATTTTCATGCCCTACCTCAGTCTGAGAGTTTTCCACTTTGTGCTTGTAGGGAGACCTGCGCACCTTGGAGGAAATCAGGGAAATTGTCTACTTCCCTGAGCTACCTGGTCTCTTCTCTGGGAGACAGAGGGGAAAGGGTAACAAGGAGAATAGGGGGCATGAAAACATGTAAGGATGGTTGGTTCATTCAACAAACCTCTGAGTGCCTCTTGCAACCAGAGACTTCCCATGTGTTCCTGGCCCTTTTCCGAACAACCACTGGACAGGTGGGGAGACTGAGGGTCCTAGAAGGCAAGACCCCTGCCCCAAGTCCCCTGGCACACCAGGCCTCCACTTCAGGGGGTCTTTCAATCGGGAGCTGCCTTCCAGCCATGGGCCTTAGCCTTCAGAGTAGGAGAGCTGGTTGCAGCCATGACCCACCTTCTCCAGTCGCTCACGGCCTTTTTCTGCTTCCTTGCTCTCCTCCGTGCTCCATCGTGGCCATCGGGGACCTCAGGAGACAGATCAGCTAGAGGAAGAAAAGGCGGAGCTGGAGTCGGAGATCGCCGAGCTCCAAAAGGAGAAGGAACGTCTGGAGTTTGTGCTGGTGGCCCACAAACCGGGCTGCAAGATCCCCTACGAAGAGGGGCCCGGGGGGCCCGGGCCGGGCCCGCTGGCGGAGGTGAGAGATTTGCCGGGGTCAGCATCCACTAAGGAAGATGGTTTCAGCTGGCTGCTGCCGCCCCCGCCACCACCGCCCCTGCCCTTCCAGACCAGCCAAGACGCACCCCCCAACCTGACAGCTTCTCTCTTTACACACAGTGAAGTTCAAGTCCTCGGCGACCCCTTCCCCGTTGTTAGCCCTTCGTACACTTCCTCGTTTGTCCTCACCTGCCCGGAGGTCTCCGCGTTCGCCGGCGCCCAACGCTCCAGCGGCAGTGACCAGCCTTCCGACCCCCTGAACTCGCCCTCCCTTCTTGCTCTGTGAACTTTAGACAAAACAAACAAATACACAAGGGAGAGAGATTTGGACGAGGAGGAACTGGAGGAGAGAGGGGAAGAGAAAAAGCGGGCGTGTGGTTTCCCTGCCTCTCCTGTTTGACCCTCTGCTGCCGCTGCCATCGGACAGGAGGACTTCCTTGTGTTCTGTTCCGCCTCTTGTTTCTGCCGGCCCGGCGAGGCCAGAGAGCTGGTGACTTTGGGGTCACGGGGTGGGGAGGGGATGGACACCCCCCAGGCTGCCCACTGCTGCCTGTGGGCCGTTTCGCTTGGACCCAGGCTCTGGGGATGGGGGGTGGGGGCGGGGCGATGCCCACCTTTGGGCTGGAGGAAGCGGGGCTGTGGGGTGGGCTGTGGGGTGGGCTGGAGTTCTCTCCAGAGAGGCCCAACAAGGAAATGCCACCGAACCCCCAAAACGTTTCTCCCACGCCCACCCCTCCAGGGGTGACTAGGCTGGTTCTCCCTGCCGCCCCCCACCACCTTAGCTTATTTATCCAACATTTCCACGTGCTTCGATCCTCCTCTGAATTGAGCCCCCCTTTAAAGGGAAGTTGATGCCCCCCCCCCTCCCTGGATAATCTTCCTTCCACCCAGACCTAGTCTGAAATGTGAACCTCCCTCCCTGACCGTCCAGCTGCTCTGTCCGGGCAAAACTGGCTCCAATTTTGAATTTCTCGCCTCCTAAGCCTCCCCCAACATTCAGCCCCCAGCCCTTCTTTCTGATAACAGTATTATTTTCCCCCTGCCCGCCACCCACCTCCCACAGCCTCCCCTCCGGGCCTTCCTTGTTGGGCCTCTCTGATTCAGGCAGCAGGGGGCGCTGTGATGCCTGTCCTGCTGGAGTGTTTTATACTGTGAAACGAGTTGGCCGGATTGTGGGGGGAACCGGGTGGGACAGAACCCCTCCGGAGGGATTGTGCCCCCCACTCCCCAAAGCCTTTCCGTGGTCTCCCCTCCCCCTGTATGCCTCCTTTCTCCCCTCAAAATGAGTTAGACTCGAGGGGGTGACAGAATCCAGAGGGGATGACAGTTATCCATCTGCGTGGCCTCTCTCCTCAGGACCCAACCCCCTCCGAGCCCCAGACCAAGCCCTGGCCTTTTTCTTTAAGGCCTGTCACCCTATCCCAGCCTAGGACGCCAACTTCTCCCTTGCCTTGGTCTCCCACAACCTTTCTAGAAAGGGAGCAAAGGGAGATTGCCAGGGTGCCCCGACATTTTCCCGGAGAAGACTTAAAGGCTGAGGCTTTGACCCCCACCACCCCCTAATATTTCTGGACTGGCAAACTCCAAGGGGCTGGGTTCCCCGAGATTCCAGCTTCCCCTCGCTCAGCCCCAGCCCCAATTCTCGGTTTAGGTTCCTTAACCCTGCCTTTCCCCTCATGAGGATTTTATCATGAGGCCAATTGATATTTTTTAATATCGGGTGGGTCACGCCGCCCTCTGTGCTGCATGGAAAACATTCCACTGCCCCGTCCTGCGGCTCCCGCCCTGAACCCAGACGCCCCCGACCCACTTCCGTGGCTATTTATCCCTTTCTCGATTTCCGAAAGGCACTTATATCTATTATGTATAAATAAATATATTATATATGAGTGTGTGCGCGCGCGTGTGAGTGTGTGAGCGCTTCTGCATCCTTGGCCTAGGTCACGTTGGCCCTCAAAGTCATGCCGTTGAATTGGAAACACTGCTTCTGGAAACTTCAGGCTGCCTGTCTCCGGCTGCCTCCGTCTCTAGCTGTCTCTTTTCTGACTGTCTCTGGTTGTTTTCTGGCCATCTCCGGCTATCTCTTTCCTGAGTCTCTCTCCCGCCTCTGTGTGTTCTCTGCCAGTTTTTACCTGACCCTTTCCATGTGACTGTCCCTGGTTCTCCAGCTGTCTTCTGACTCTGGGTTTGTTGGGGACCTGATATTTTATTTTTGTGAGTAAGCCTGAGGGATTATAGATTTTTGCAATCTGTATCTTTGAGAATTTTGGGTGCGAGTGTGAGGCTATGAGCAGGGCCTGCCCCTGCAGACCACAATGTATTGAATCCCCAACCCCACCCCCATGCTGTATTTGTGATTCTTTTTGTATTTTGCACCTGACCCCCCGGGGGCTGGGGCTGGCTGGCACTGGGCCGCTACCCTCCCCCTCGTGGTTCTGCACTGTCGCCAATAAAAAGCTCGTGAAAATGTATCCACCAAGCTTCAGGGTCTCTTTGCTCCTGACACCCATCATCTGCCTTCCTTTCAGCATGAGGGAGTGAGGTTAGATTGCTACAGGACTACACACACACACATACATATATATGCTGGAACTCTTACTAGTGAATCAGTCAACAGCAGGATGGAGGGAGGCTAGACAGTCAGAAGGACTTCCCACACACAGAGGCTGTATCTCCTCCTTGAAGAAGTAATGAGGCAGAATATTAGCCATGAGGTGTCTGATACCAAAATACTAAAGGCTCAGGTAGGTTTCCTGGTGAAGGAAGAATTTATACTTGATGGTGTAATGCTCTGGGGTTGGCCTGAGCAAAAGTGAGAGGTAGAAAAAAATTTGAACTGTTGAAGACCACTCAGGTACATTGGGAGTCTTCAGGGTTACATGAATCATAAAACTTGGATCACTTTATAGTGAAGATGAGTTTCCTTTTGCTTTTGCACATGATCATGTCTTCTGGGTTAGAAACATATTGGGAACAACCCAAGACTGACTAAACCAAAGATATCACCACTTTGTCCACAGATACACTGAGCCATCCCCATTGCAAGATCCAAGCCCACTCTCATTTGCAAAGCAGCAAGCACTTTGAGAATTGAAGTACTGGTCCAGAGGTTAGGTGTCTTAGTAAATGACTAAGCAGGGGGATTTGTCATAATCCCCTTAATTTATGTATTAGCGCCAAAAAAAATGCTAATTTATTCATTTCCAACTATCAATTAGTGCAAACCAAGTCGGACATGACTGAGCACACACACACGATGTTATGTGCCCAGGGTTGGGGACCCTGCAGAGACTGAGGCAGTCTCAAGCTCCCCCTCCCAGGGTTCACAGTAGAGTGGGGGACGCAGACCTGTTCCCAATCAGGGATGATCTAAATTGGGCAGAATTGGGGGTCCATGGGACTTGGGGGGCCCCGTGGGGACACCTAACCTGGTCTGGGAGTCAGGAAAGACTCCTGGGAAGAGAGGATCCCTAAACTGAGTCTTAGAGGATAAACAGAGGGCATAGAAAGAAATAGAAGAAACTGATTCAAATGAAATAGTGCAAAGAGTTGACGGGGGAGGGCCTGGTACGTTGAGGATACAGAGGTTCCCCCGGGGCTAGAACAAAAGGCGTGAAGAGAGAGGTTGAGCAGGGACCAGATTCTGCAAGCTAAAACTCCAGACTAAGTTTAGATCTTCTCTTGAGAGTACTGGGGAGCCCTGGCAGGTTTTGGCCATAAGAAATTCAAGGACAGTTTTGTGCTTTAGGGAGACTCCTCTAGCTGCCAGGCTGAGGGTAATTGGGAAAGAGGCGGGAATGAGGCAGAGGACCAGGGAGGAGGCTAGGATGAGAACACTGAGGTGTGAGGGGGTGCCTGGAGCAGCACCAGGGCTGTGGGCTGGAGAGGAGCGGAAGGATTCAAAAGACTTCGAAGAGGCAAAACAGGCAGGGTTTGGTGAGTGACTGGCTTAGGAAAGACAGCAGGGGACAGTGGTAAATAGTATGGGTCAGGGGTCTGAGATCTCTGGGGTTGGAGGCCTCCCAAAGGTGATCCTGGACAAAAGGCTTCATCTTTCTGAACCTCAGTTTTCTCAGCTGCAGAATGGGCTGAAGGGTATCAGTGAGCTTATACACGCCAGTGCTGAGCACAGAGTAAACGTGCAGTTATTACCATCCTCATCCCCGTTTGTTACAGCCATCCTGTTTCCCTCTCTGGAATACTCTCCCCTTCTGCTGACTAATTCACTCCCATCCTTCAGGTATATGTTCAAACGTTACTCTGACACCCTACCTGAACTCAGGTCTCCTTATAAGATGTCCTCATAGATTCTGTACCTGCCTTCCCAGTGGTGAACACTTTGATAGTTGTTAATTCAATGGGGAATTGATTAATGTTTAAAGTTTGTCTCCTCCACTGCTCACGAGGTCAGGGTCAGGGTTTTGTAGTCATCAGCGTGTCCCCAAGACCGCTCAGTGCAGGGCCGGGCATGGAGCAGTCACCCAGCAGATACTTGTTGAGTATGTGAATGAATAAATGATCCAAGGAATAAATATTCGACTGTTTCATAAGTGCATGCGTGATTAAATACACGAGTGGGTAAATGACTAAATAAGTGAGTAAGCAAGTGAAGGGGAGGAATCTAGGATCACTTTCTAAATGTAAATTTCCTAGAACTGAGAGTATACACGAATTTTTCTTCATCTTTCGGAGTTCTTTGGTTTTCCCCGGGGCGGGCAGGGGTGAGGTATGTGAATGTACTCACAGGGAAACACTTGAGCGGCGAAAAATAAAGACTGCAGCGACATCTCCAGACGCGGGTCCGAGGTCCTCTGGGCCAACTCGCATTCTAATATCCAGTTTGGAAGAAGAAAATTGTTAAAAAAAAAAAAAAAGCATCGCCCGAAAGGTGGAATTGAACCACTCTGTCGCTAGACAGCTACAGGTTTGAAGCCTGCACCCCAGACCACTGAGGATCATCCGGGCAAGATAAGTGCCTTCCCATACAGCTATATAAAAGACATAAATTTTTAATTTTTACACATATGGTGATATAGTTTGCAAGCGTGTGAAATTGTTGATTTCAATATCTGTAAACTCTCCCAAGTTTATTACGACAGACGTCCTCCCAAAATGCTGCGTTTGCCTCCTATGGATTGATTCATGTCTCTTTGGAAACTATCTCATTTGCATAGCACCGCCCATTCTGGGAAACGGTGCTGGGGACGTGGCCCCCTCGTGTCTAGCCGTTAAAGAGACTGAAGCCCCTTTTATCCAAGAGAAAAGTCCATTTATATTTTTAAAACAAAAAAGATTCATAATTAGGGATTCAGAAGCTTCTTTCCTGAAAAATCTGAATTCGAATGTGTGCGTTCCCGTTAATAGTCTGATTTAGCCCAACCGCGGAGACTCCGCGCTGGCGGCTGTAGGGCTGGTGCGACACCTGCTGTTCTTTTGTGGAACTTCAGCGATTTAAACCTTTCAAAAGTTTAAAGAGCGCCTCTCAGTTCAGTTCAGACGTTCAGTGCTCTCCGACTGCTTGCGACCCCATGAACTGCAGCACGCCAGGCTTCCCTGGCGATCACCAATTCCCGGAGCTTGCTCAAACTCATGTCCATCGAGTCGGTGATGCCATCCAACCATCTCATCCTCTGTCGTCCCCTTCTCCTCCCGCTTTCAATCTTTCCCAGCATCAGGGTCTTTTCCAATGAGCGCCTACCGAGTCCCAGACACAATCCTAGGTACTGGGGATGACAGAATTTCTGTCCCCATTGAGCTTAAACACTAGAGATCATCCGTTTTTACATTTGCATTTTATGGCCGAGGAAAGTGAGCCATAGAAACGGATAGTACCCTACCCTATCCACACAACCCATCCACGTGAAAAAATAGAAACTGTGCCATCGTAATTATTATTTAAAACAAACCAAAAAAAAAAAAAGTGATCCTTTTATAATCCAAGTCGGTGATCCTTTGACAACAAAGTCATTCCCCGACATGAATCTTCCCCTGTCTCCCTTCTCAGTGGAAAAGTCAAATCTCTTACCGCAGCTTTACAATCCTGACAATTAGCCCTTTCCACTTCTCTGACCCCATGTCCTCCTACTCCTCTCTCCTCATATACGTGGTTTCTGGCACACAAATCGCTTGCTGCAGACACCAGGCATGCTTGCTTCCCAGGGCCATTGCATCTGTTGACCCCCATGTCTGAATCTCCTTTCCTCCATATGTTTCCATGACTCACTGCCTCCCTTCACTCTGGCCTCTGCTTAAATATCACCACTTAATGAGGCCTTCCCTGACCACCCAGTTTAAAATAGCAAGCCTTGTCACTATGTCCCCTTCTTCTGCTGGACTTCTCTCCATCACCCTGATCACCACCTGCCCTTGTCTATGTCCATTTGCTTTTTGTCTGGCTGCTCCCGCTAAAATAGCAGCTCCATGAAACCATGGACTTTGTTTTGGCTCATTTCTGTGCCAATGATAACGAAAGAGTGCTTTAGCACTTGCCAGACGCTCACTATCTGTTTGTACAATGAATGCAAGAATATGGGGACTTCTATGGTGGTCCAGTGATTTAGGCTCTGTGCTCCCACTATAAGGAGGCACAGTTTCCATCCCTAGGCGGGGAAATAAGATCTGCATGCTATGGGGCAAAAAAAAAAAAACAAAAACACCATCTTTTTCTGAGCCTCAGTTTCCCCATCTGAAAAACAAAACTAGTGCAACTAGGGGGAATCATGGCAAGCAGATGGATATAAAAGACAGACATGGCATTTTGAGTGACTCAATTAAGACTGTTCCCATCACCAACCTGTTTCCTGCCTCCAGTGGGGGTGCCAAGGCTGGGCTTGGGGGCTTTAGACATTCTTGTATCCATAATCTCAACCAGTCCCTCTTTCTCCAGTTTTTGATAAAGACAAACGGACACTTCGTCCTATAGAAAGTATCAATAAAAATCTTTAGAAAAAAAAATATCTTTAGGAAGTCTTACTATTTTATTTGGAGGTTTAAAACATTGCCCCTAAAAAACAAAAACAAAACATTGCCCCTGCTTGCCAAATCCAGATTCAGGAGAAGCCCCTCAAGTACTCTTTCTTTTAAGTAGGAAGCTGCTGCTAGGCAACCCCTGTATACAAAAACTGAGACTAACTACCACTCTTGTAACATTATTATATATCTTGTAAAATGTGACATGCCTCACTAGAGGCAAGATTTTAAGTGATGCACAAGTAAACATTTTATTTATTTATTTATTTTTTACAAGTAAACATTTTAAATGTTAATAGTTTTGTGTTTAACTGTTATCTTTGATTGCTGGCAAGGGATACTGACTTCCTTAGTGGTGGAGTAACATTTCATTTTAAAAGACGTTTGCTTTATTTTTTAATAAAACAATTTAGGGAATTCCCTGGTGGTCCAGTGGTTAGGACTCTGTGCTCTCACTGCCAAAGGCCCTTGCTTGATCCTTAGTCGGGGGGTTAAATTCTACAAGCAATGTGATATGGTTAAAAAAAAAAAAAAAGTCAACTAGCAGAACAGATGATATATAGATCATCAAGGTCCAAGGAACTGAATGGGATGTAGGTAGCTTAGGGTCACAACTTTTCATTTGAAGAAAGGGAGGCTTCCTGCTCAAGGTCACGTGGTCGAAAAGTAGAAAAGTTGATTCAAATCCAATCTATTGGTTTGTTGTTGTTTTTCCTATTTTTTGGTCCTTCTGCATAGCGTGCGGGACCTTATTTCCCCCAAGAGGGATCGAACCCATGGCCCCCTCTGGTGAAGCACAGCGTCTCAACCACTGGACCGCCAAGGAAGTCCCAGGGTCCCTGGTCTTTAGACTCGAGCTTCCTGCCTCCTCTTGCCCCGGTTTAGTTTTGGAAACCGAGGCCCAGAAGCCACGAGGCCCTGTGTTTATTCCCAAGGCATTTGGAATAGAGAGAAGTGGGTGGATGAGAGACGTTTGAGAGAGTGAATAGACGTGGCTTCACAACTGAATAGATGTGAGGGAGTAGGAGCCCAGGGCCAAATCTGGGTCTCTGGCTGGGCGACAATGTGGACAGGAGAGGGACTTCCGGACTTGGAAATCAGGTAAGACCAGGAAGAGGTTTGGATAGATTTGAGGGGGGAGTCTCCAGAAGGCAGCTGGATACATGGGTCTGAGACTCAGGTGAGATGGGGGCACAGCAGGCGGAGTGTGGGGATCGCCTAGTGATGTCTGCCAGGAGTACAGGCGTGGAAAGCGACTGTCGAGGCCTGACTAGCCCTGGGATCCGCTGCCTCTCGGTTCTTCTTCTGCAGAGATGGGGAAGGTTCCTTCTTAAGGATCACTTACGCGCTTTTCAGGGCAGAATATGAAAGCTGGAGGGGGCTGGAAGCACAGGAGGCCTTGGGTTTTCCACAGAAGTCTTTATTACAGTGTAAATCCAAGCTCAGGCCTCCCCTGGGCCCCATGCAAAGCCCCAGCGTTGGGGCTAGTGGCGTCAAAAGACACCAAGCCCTCCCGGCGCCTCCAGCGGTGGGGTCACGGAAGTGCAGGGCGTGTGCCCTAGCTAGGCAACTACAAGTCCCAGCAGGCCCCGCGGCCAAGGTGCCTCGCTTTCCTTGGACTCCTAGAGCCGAGCCTCTTGGGAAATGTAGTCCTGGCCGCTCAGGCAATTTGCGCAAACTCCTTCAGGTGAGTGATCCTGACACCCACTGGGAAATGGCTCGGGCTGAGGCTTAATGAGGGCAGGGACGAAGGGAGATGGAAAAGGGCAGAGGGCTACAGGGGGTCGGGGCAGGCGTCCCGCAGGCAGAGACACTTCTTTCATTCGGCTTTGGCTTTGGGTCCGGAGACTGCAGCTGCTACCGAGGCAAGGGCTCCGGTCCCTGGGATCTTAGCTCGGATCCTGAGGGAGAAACAGGTGGAGTCAAGGGGTGGGGCAAGAGAGGATAACTCTGAGAACTAAAGGGAAAACTGGAAGGAGGAACCTAGAGCCCAAACCAGCCCCAACCCTCCACCTACTGGCCTGCGATGGAATTGTCTCTTAGCTTTTAGGAAGGAGATATTCAACCCCAGGAGATTTAGGGATAAGGCATATGGGGAGGTGGGGGTGCAAAGGGGGCAAGGGGAACGTTCCCAAGTTTCCCCATTCCCCATCCCATCCATCTCCACCACATGCCCTTACTTAGCTTTGATGTGGCTCAACTGATTGGTCACCAATCCCACATACTGATCAATCTGGGCCTGGGGGGATGAAGAAAAGGGGTGAAAGGAAAGATTGGAGGTGGTTCTTCTCCCTAATTCATTAAGGAGGCTGCTTCCTCCCCCGACTCAAATCAGGAGTTTGGGGGAGCGGCCCACCATGCCACCTTCAACTCTAAACCTAATAAAATACCCTTGGAAGTCAGAAGTCCAAGTTAAAAGTGTCAAGCTGATTGGACCACACTCTGTGTAGGAAGGGATGATGGGTAGACACAAGAATTTGCCAGTGAGTTTGTGTCCTAGGCACTATTGTTAATCTTTGAGATGTGTGTATGTATGTGTGTTTAGGAACAGCGTAAGAGCAGAGGGCACTGGTGTTGCTTGTCAAGTCCCTGAGTGGATTGATTTAAATACTAGTTTAATTCACAACACTAGCTGACTTTGTGAGTCTCGGTGATTCCAGCATGTGAGGGAGTTAGTTAGGACTATATCCCTGGCAGGGATGGGCATCCCTGGGCTCTCAGCTGTGCTGGAGAATGTAAAAAATGGAATGCGGTCCATCTGTCTGTCTCTGGATAGGATGTATGTCAGTTGCCCCTGGTTCTGTCAGTGTTCTGGGTAACAGACATCCCACCTGATTTAACTGAAATGTCAGTCCCTCGCAGTTTCAGGGAGTGAGGGCATCAGTCAGTCCACCTGATTAGCTGGGATGGGTGCCAGTCAGACCCAGGCTATGTGTAGGGATAGACGGCATCAGTCTGTCTGTCTGCAAATGGAATATGTGTTTGTCAGTCCCTGGTGGTATCACAGGGACAGAGGGTATCAGGCTGTCAGGAGGAGGCATTCACCTGTCTGCCTGTTTCTAGCTAGGATGAGTGTTGTTTGGCCTCCTGCTGTGTCAGGGAGAGAAGACACCAGTCAGGCTCCTTCTCCGGAGCTAGGACATGTCAAGGCAGGCCTTGCATCATTGTTGGGGAGGAGCATTGGTGAGTCCACTTGCCTTGGTTTGGGATACATCAGCTAGATCCTGGCTCTGCCACTGGCTCTGTCATGGGACACCAACCAAAATGCCTGTCTCTGACTATTGAAATGTATTAGGTAGACTCTAGCTGCATGGAGGAAGGGCAGCAGGCAGACCACCTGTGCCTGGCACGTGTCAGTCAGACCCTGACTCTGTCGGGGTAGGAACACCAGCTGGTCCTCTTATCTTGGGCTGGGACATTTGTCATCGACCCTGGCTGTTGGGGGGCAGGGGGTGACCAGACCAGTTGTGTTTGGTTGGGGTACTGCCAACTGAAGGCCTGTCACACTCACCTGGTGCTGTCGATATAGCAGAGGGACTGTGAATACACCGATCACTCCTGCAGACACAGAGATGGGGGGGGGTCAGGGTACTCCCCGGAGATTAACAGTTCCATTCATGACCCTGTCTCCCACCAAGCCCCAGTGGCCCACCTCCCCACCCTGCCCTCCACAGCCTACCCAGCTCACCCAGAATGAGAAGAGTCAAACCATTGAAGACGGCACCCACGAAGGTCAAGATGTAGAAGAGAAGGGCCAGCTGAGGGTGAGGGTGAGGGTCAGCAGAGCCTACGGCGTGCACCCCAGGCTGCGAGCTCACCCAGCAACGGCCCTCCTCCCCCTCCACCCCGCCAGGGCAAGGAGGTGAGTGCTGGGGACCCAGGAGGGAGGTGGGGGGGCTTCAGGGCACCTTGAGGGAGTCCACGAGGTCTTCTACCAGGAAGAAATGCCGCAGCTGTATGGCCGCAGAGACCACGCGGGAGGCAATCTGCTGGGACAAACGTTCAGTCTGCTCCCGAGTCAGGGTCAGGTCCACGTCCAGGTAGGCCCTGAGAGGACAGAGGTGTGTGAGGCGAATCGGCGGGTGGAGGGGGCCCAGGATGATGCCCAAGACAAGGGCAAGAAATGAGGGTTGGGGAGGAGGCCACCTGTGGAGGGGCAGGGTGGAGGTCAGGGTCAGGAGATGGGATCAAGGATTAAGGATCAGAGGTTAGGGTCAGAGGTCAGGGCTGGAAGCCAAGGGTCAGAGTCCAGTTTAATGTCAGGGTATCAGGTTGGAGTTAGGAACAGGAAGAGGATGGGTCGGGGCCGGAGTGAGAAGTCAGTGCCTGATCTGAGGCCATGGGCCAGCGCTAGGGTCTGGACAGAGATAAGAGGTGGGGGGCCAGGCTGGGGCTTCTCACTGGAAGGGGTTGGCGCCGTCCCCCCGGTGCACGGCCTGCAGCACTTTTCGGTAAACCCTGAGAGAGATGGTGCCGCAGAGCAGCAACAGGGCCACGTGGGCGGCCACGGACACGATGCTAAAATGCAGGAGGCTTAGCAGGGAGACCATGAGGCCTGTGAAGACCACTCCTGACGTCCTCGTGTCCTTCCAGTACAGCAGGTCCGCCACTGTGGAGGGAGGGGGCGGCAATCAGGCTGGGGTTTGGAGCTGCCCTGGCTGACCTCTTGACTTCCTACTTCCTGTCTTGGGGCCGAACCATGACCTCTTGACACACCTGTGGGAGACTTAACCCAATTTCCAGATTTTTATTTGTCTTCTTTTATTCCATGCTAGGGCTTTCCTGGTGACCCAGACAGTAAAGAATCTGCCTGCCATGCAGAAGACCTGGATTCGATCCCTGGGTCAGGAAGATCCCTTAGAGAAGGGAAAGGCTACCCACTCCAGTATTCTTGCCTGAAGAATCCCAGGGACAGAGGAGCCTGGAGGGCTACAGTCCATGGGGTCACAAAGAGTCAGACATGACTGAGCGACTAACACTTTCATTCCATGCATGCCTCCTGGAAAACCCAAGTTAACTGTCTAGCGAGTCCCCACAAGCTTACTCCTGCCCATAGATTATGTGTGAACAGAAGTTTGGGTAAAAAAAAAAATCATTCTTATGCATCATGCATATCTCACTCTACTTTTTCTCCTAGAATTCTCTTCTGGTCAACTGGAACAGCTTTTAATTCATTCTTTTTAAGGGCTACACAATATTCCATGGTGTATCTACACCATTATTCATTTTATTCAACCACGTATGTATTGCTGGGCCATTTATTTTGTGCCCCCCCCCCAATCCCCTTCCTAGACAGTACTACAAACAACAGCCTCCTGTAGATATTCTTACCTCCAGGAGGTTCTATTTCTGAGATATAATCCCAGGGGTCAAATCACAGGGTGGACTAATTTTGTATTTTCAAGTATCATAAATTTTATCGGATTGCTTACAAACAAGAGTCTAACAATCCTTTTTTCTGTGAAGTGAAAGTGACCTTTCCCCAGCATCCTGACCAGCAATGGGTGTTATTGTTCTTTTTATTTTATGCACCCCGAGGGGTATAAAGTAACATCTCCCTGATACCCCTACCAACACACATATCTGAGTCCTAAATGTATTAATGACATCATTCTCCTTCCTAGGCTCTAACTCAAATTTCTAACTCACCTCCCAAGCCCAGCCTAAACTTTGATCAGTGGCCTTTAGACCACATTTCATCTCATGCATCTTAACTTTTAACAGCTTTCCCTATAATCGGCTCCCCTTTGAGCCTTGAACTGAGAGCCTGGTACCCTGCCATCTATTTCTGGACTGCCATCCGACCACCCTTACTGCCCTCAAACTGACCCATCCCAACCAGTCCCCCTCAGAGTCTGACACTCCTCACTTCCGCATCCTCCCTTACACATCCTCCCATCGACTGTAACTAGGGTAGGTCTCCCCTCAACGCCTCCCCTGCAGGCTCCCCAAGGCCTGCGAAACTGGGTGGGGGAGGGGCCGGGTCGTCTGAGGCGGGGGCTAAGTTTAGGCACGCTGCGGGGAGGGAGCCTCTCCCGCAGCTGTGCTGGCCTGTCCGGCTACGGAGTGACAGCGCCGCCTGGACCAGAGGCTGGGGGGAGGGGGCCTCGCCGCTCTCGGGCCCCAAAGCTCCGGCTGGAGAGAGAGGGGACCCCACATTCCCACCACGCCCTCTCTAGTTACCCCCACAGCCCCTCAGCCCCAGCCTGCATTTCTGGGGAGTCTGGGACCACGAGGAAACATCCCCCAGAGTTGAGGGTGACAAAAGCGAATCTGGGGCCCTTTCCATGGTCCCCCAGCCCTCGCGTCCCAGCGTCCCAGCCCGCCCCGAAAGCCCACCTTTACTCCCCATCTCGGCTCCTCCGAGTGAGAGGCTACAGACACCGCTGCTTCTCAGGGATTTTGCCCACTTCAGTGGAACCCGGAGGGAGGGAATAGGGGGCGGGGCCCCCTTTGTACCCAGCCAATGGCTCTCCATAGAGGTGGGAACAATTCCAAAACGGTGTGGCTCTCTTTGTAAACAGCCGAAAGCAGGGATGTCTACAACCAACCTATAGGGACCGTTCATGGAGACTGAGCATACTTTAAAGCAAGGCGGGTCTATTTACAATTTGCCAATGCTAGGGGTCAGGGAAGAGGAAAGGTGTTAAAAGTCTCCGAGTTTACTTTTATGAGCCGGGTGGCCACATTCAGAACAGAGAGCCTTACTTTTTCAGGGATTCGGCCTGTCCAAAATCAGCCTCTAGGGGGAGCAGTACAAAAGAGGGATTTTTTTTTTTTTTAGCAATTAGCCAATCCCAACCCTAAACCCTCAATGGGCGGACTAATTTCTCGAGTGGGCGGGGCAGCTATATAAAAAGAGCCAGTGGCAATCTTAGGTAACGGGACTTTTTTAAAGGGTAGAGTTTATAATCTCCTGCCAATAGCAATACCTCCTCCGTTTCTCCACTCTCCTCAGTTCCTTCGGGAGGTTGGTGCCTTTAAATATCAATCCTCCACCCTCCCAGTGGTCCAAAGTAGCACGTTCCCTCGCGGAGTTTACCTAGAACTTGTGATTCCGGTGTGAATTCTGATTGGTCCGTGCTATCGAGGCACTGCCCCCTGATTGGCTCCTGCTCCAGCGGCCCCCACGGCTCTTCCTCCTTCTCGTCCAGCAAGGGCTCATCCGGCCAAGAGTTCGAATCCCGGGATCGAGGTGGGGATGGGGTGGGAGCCTGGGGGATCCCAGAGACAGGGCTGGGCTGTGGAGTAAAGACTTCCAGCGGCGAGGACTGAACGAATCCGAGTGGTAGGTCCAATTCTGGTGTGTTAGAGAGAGAAGGCTGTGAGCTTTTGCTTTGGAGGTGCCCTAAGGAGAGAAACCACCCACCCCTTGTGGCTTCAGTCTCAGCACCTCAGACATCTCACCTTTCCCAGCCTCTCCAGCCACTGATCCTTCGGGCTCCTCGTCTTCCAGCGGAGTGGAGCTACTGGTGGCAGAGTCCTCCCCAGTCCCTGCTCCCTGGGTCGCCCAGCCCAGTTGATCCAGCTGAAGCCCCAGGTCCTCCGGGGGGCGCTCAGCTGGAGGGGCAGAACTGGGGTCACCTCGACGCCCTGGCTCCGGGGATTGACTCAGGCTGGGGATGCTTTCCAAGCTGTCGCCCAGGCCGGGCTGAGGGGGCGGGTCTCGCGGCTCCGAGACTGAGCGGCCCTGGGGCCGTGGGCGGCGAGCGGCTGATTCCCTGCGAGCCCCAGAGCCCACCACACCGTCGAAGGCGATGTAGGAGAAGGTCAGCTCCCGGGGAGTGCCCCAGTCCTGCGACGTGGTCTCCTCCTCGTCGTCCTCCGAGAATTCCCGGGCTGTATGAAGCTCCCGAAAATCCGAATCGTCGTTCCCTCCTGCCACGAGCAAAGGAGGGCATGAGCTCCTCTGACAAAGACCCTGACCCACTCCCCCGGCCCCTTGGCCCAGCTGTGAGCCCCCTTCAAGTTCCTCTCTCACGCCCTCCCTCTTTGCTTACCTTCTGTGGAGTCAGGGGTAGATGAAGCTGTAGATGGAGCTTCTTCTGCAAGAGGAAGATATCGAAGACTCTTAGAAGTTTAGACTGCCCGAGTTACAGTAGTGAGCCAGTCCTGGAAACTTGTCTGAATTAAGGAATCTTAGAATTTTCATCACAGGACCTTTAGAACATTCTGCATACAGACTCTAAAACCTTTCTATCCCTGCTATCTGAAGCTCAGTCTTGGAAGTTCACATCCAGGAATCTTGATCTTAGCGTCTTTAAGCATTGCTTCAGTCATGTCTGACTCTTTGCGATCCCATGGATTGTAGCCCACCAGGCTCCTTTGTCCATGGGATTCTCCAGACAAGAATACTGAAGCGGGTTGCTGTGCCCTCCTCCAGCGGATCTTCCCAACCCAGGAATCAAACCCGCGTCTCTTACGTCTCCTGCATTGGCAAGCAGGTACTTTACCAACAGCGCCACCTGGGAAGCCCTTAGGGATTTTAGGAGGCTTTTAGGAGGTTTCAGTTCATTAATTCTTTCAACAACCACTATTTGAGTGCTTAATAAATGCCAGTCACTATTTTAGATCCTGAAAATACAACTGTAAACAAAACCCCTAGTCTTACAGAGCTTACACTCTATAGGGGAGATAGACACAGACAATTAAATTTATGGTGTTGGGTGCTAAGTGTATGGAGAAAAATCAAAGGAAGGGAAGGGAAAATAAGGGGATGCTATTTCAGACAGGTTGGTGAGGAAGACTCCTTGGATGACATTTGAGCAGAAATCTGAATGATGTGATGGAGCCATGAGAATATCTAGGGAAAAGTCTTCCAGGCAGAGGGAAAAGCCAGTGCAAAGGCCCTGAGGCAAGCACTAAGCTTTGCATATTTGAGGAACAGAGAAGTGTGCAGATATGACTGGAACAGGGTGACTGATGGGAAGATGATGGGAGATGAGAGCAGTGAGGTAAGGTGGGGGTGGGGTGGGGAGAAGACGAAGGGCCTTCCTTTGTAAGCCCAGGTAGGGACAAGATCTTAGAATGTAGGGATGATACACTAAAATGTTGAAATAACAAATTCTTAGAATCTTGGCATCTGGACTCCCAAGACATGCAAGTGGCTAGGTCAGTGTTGAAATCCCCAGTTCTCAGAACCTCGGGGGTGTGAGACAGAGAATGTTAGACAAGGACTATTAGAGCTCTGGGTTCAGAAATCATGAGGCTTAGACAAGGCAATTTCAATTATGGAATTCAGCTCTCTTGGGGCTTTGCCTACAGGAGATGCTCAATACCTTTTGGAAATTGAAATCGCATGCCCCCCCGCCCCCACCTCACTTCCTTAGATGGGGAATAGGAGACCAGGAATGAAAGACCTGGAGTGGTAAAACCAGCTAAGGATCCAGGAGTCCTAGCCCCAACCCAGAGATTGGCTGTTTCCTGGGGACTGGGGATTGGACACTTCGGGTGAGACCGGGGCTGCCTCTGATTCTGGGCAGAAAACGGAGGTGGGATGCGAAGATGGGTGATGCGGGGGAGGAGGAGTCAGACCCCTCTTCTCCATCCTGACTCTACCCCTCCATTGAAATCCCCTCCCCTCCGGCTGGAGCCAGCACCAGAGCGAGGGGACAGCTCCTGGAGAGCGTCCTCTTCCCCGGGCGGAGCCCCGCAGCTCATCCAAGCGCCCAGCGCGCCCCCCTTCGGCTATCTCAGTGCCCCCAACCTCTGCCGAGTCTCACTCAGATTCTCCGGGTCAAGTCGCCCCCATCGCTGCTAGAATATGGGGGAGGGCAGATCTTCCTTTGTTTCCTTCACCTCCTCCCCTATCTCGGCTCTCCCGCGGCCCAGGTCGGAGGGGAAACAGAAGAGGAGCCCACCCGGGCCTCTGGGCCCCACACCAGGCCTGGGCCTCCCCCTACTCACTGCAGTGGGCGAAGACCGGCAGGACCTGCCCCATGGCCCCCCTCGGGACTGCATCGGGACCCCCGCCCACTCCGGCCACGCCGCCTTGGGCCTGGGGCCGCGAGCGCTCATCTCCGCCGCGCCCAGGACGCCGCCGCCACCGCCGCCATCCTCGCCGCCTCCTCCTGCCGGGCCGCTCCAGCAGCCGCCGCCGCCGCCGCCGCCGCCCTCAGTTCGGCTCGGCAGGGGCGGGCGGGGCCGCTGAGGGGGGGCACTGCAGCGCTGGGGCCAGGGGCGGGGCCACAGACCGGGGGGCGGAAACTGAGGGAGGGCGAGGGGGCGGGGAAAAGCTCGGGAGGATGGAGGGGTGTGGCCTTCCTAATAGAGGGGCGGAGCCATGGCAGTAGGCTACTGGTCGAGAAGTCGTGGAAGGCGGTCTGAACGGCGGGGTCTAGAGAGAGGAGGGCGGGGCCTTTGGTGGGTACGAAGCGAGGCCGAGAGTGGGGTGACGGGCTCAGCGAGATAAGGATGCAGGAGCCTAGACGGAGAGGATGGAGGCGTGGAACTCAGACCTGGTTCTGGTGGAGCTAGAGGTGTCAATGAAGGGAAGGTACAAAGATTCTATTGCTGGGAGATAAAGCATGAGCTTAGAATCTCAATGGGAGTGGGAAAGTGGGAGGGAAGAAACTACTTGGAAACTTTTGAGACAAGGGGAGGAGCTCAGACTTGAAGGGCCTTAAGCTAATTTAGAATTATTCAGAGTTGGGTGGAGTCAGTCTGAGACAGAGGAGCTAGAGGCGTGGCCTAGGGGGAATGAGGCAGAACAAACAAGGGAGTTGGTGTGGCTCAGAAGGTGAGCGCAATCTGGAGTGAGGGGGCTGGGCCTGTAGCTAAGAGGCGGAGCTAGAGTCCAGTAGGGATAGCAAATATTTGGAGCCACAGTATGTATGAATGGATGGGCGGGACCTGGAAGAGAAGCGACTGAAACCCGGGGACTAGACAGAGGTCGAAATAAAAAAGTTAAGGATCGAAAGCTTTTGAAACCCAGGATGGGACCACTGATATGGGAGAAGATTGGACAGAGCAGGGCTGGGTATCCGAAGCCGAGTGTTGTGTTGAGAATACAGATTCTAGAAATCGTTTCCCAATAACACTGTTTACTTCTGTGACACGGTTTCCTCTCCGGTAAACTGGAGATGATGATGTAAAATTATGTGTAGTTATGGTCAGTGCTAGATTGGCACTATTGTCATTTTTCTCTAATCCAAAGCCAAAGCCTCGCTTTGAAGATGCGGAAGAGGGAAGCCCTAAGAGTTCAACCCTTTCTAGTGACTTGAGTGCAAGTCAAGGGCATAGGAAGGAGATTTAGGTGGTTTAAGATGTCACAAGGCAGGGGATTAGTGAGCGGGTGGGGCGGGGATGGTTAGCAGGTGCAGAGGGTGGAGCCTCCTGATGCCCAGGCCGAAGGATGGCGGCCCTTGCCCGCCTGCTGGAACGTCTCCTTTGGCCAGCCCGCAAGGAAGAGGAGGTGGAAGAAGAAGAGGAGGGATGCAGGTCTCCCAACCGGCCTCAGTCCCTCCTAGACGCGCCGCGTTGCGCCCAGCGGCCGCACGGGGGTGCGGCGGCAGCGTGGGGTCTGCGCTTCGGGGCTAGTGCAGTGCAGGGCTGGCGCGCACACATGGAGGACGCTCACTGCGCTTCGCTTGCGCTACCCGGGCTGCCCCCAGGTTGGGCCTTCTTCGCAGTCCTCGACGGCCACGGCGGGGCAAGAGCTGCCCTCTTCGGCGCGCGCCACCTGAAGGGCCAAGTGCTCGAGGCGCTGGGCCCGGCGCCCAGCGAGCCCCAGGGCGTGTGCGAAGCACTGCGCCGCGCCTTTCTGAGCGCAGACGCGCGCCTGCGTGCTCTCTGGCCCCGCGGCGAGCCGGGTGGCTCCACCGCTGTGGCGTTACTGGTTTCCCCGCGCTTTCTGTACCTGGCGCACTGCGGTGACTCCCGCGCGGTGCTGAGTCGCGCCGGCGCCGTGGCCTTCAGCACTGAGGACCATCGGCCCCTCCGTCCCCGAGAACGTGAACGCATCCATGACGCGGGCGGTACCATCAGCCGTCGGCGCCTCGAGGGCTCTTTGGCAGTGTCCAGAGCACTGGGAGACTTTGCCTACAAAGAGGCTCCGGGAAGGCCCCCAGAACAGCAACTCGTTTCCGCGGAGCCTGAGGTGACCGCCCTGGCACGCCAAGCGGAGGACGAGTTCATGCTCTTGGCTTCTGATGGCGTGTGGGATGCGATGTCCGGGTCTGCCCTAGCGGGACTGGTGGCATCGCGCCTCTGTTTGGGCTTGGCCCCAGAGCTTCTCTGCGCGCAGCTGTTGGACACGTGTCTTTGCAAGGTCCTGGGGGCGGGGTTTGAGATCTCTGAAGGAAGAACCTCAGGACTTAGGGAAGAGGAGCTTTAATGGCGAGGCTAAAGTAAAACTAGAGGATAAGTGGGGCTACATTAGGGGGCGGGGCCTGCAGGAACGGGTCAGGGTCAAAAGATGCAGAGGGCGGAGACTGAGGGAAGACTGGAGACAAGATGCGATGGATAGATACGCAGGAAGGATTTAAGAGAAAGGGCGTGGTTTTTTGAAATGGGACAGCTCTTAGGGCTTCCCTAAGATGGAGGAGACGCAGGTTCGATTCCTGGGTTGGGAAGATCCACTGAAGTAGGAAATGCCAACCCACTCCAGTATTCTTGCCGGGAAAATTCTACGGACGGAGGAGCCTGGTGGGTCACGGTCCATGGGGTGGCAAAGAATCAGATACGACTGAAGTGACTGAACACAAACGCTTAGGCCTAGAGGTAGGTACTGAGGTGTGATTAGTGGCAGAAGGAAGAGCAGCTAAACAGCATAGTGTGAGGAGCTTTGGAAATGAGAAGTTGTCGTTGCTGTTGCTCAGTTATGTCCAACTCTTTGCGACCCCATGAACGGCAGCACACCAGCCTTCCCTGTCCATTACTATCTCCTGGAGTTTGCGCAAACTCATGTCCACTGAGTCGGTGATGCCATCCAACCATCTCATCTTCTGTCGCCCCCTTCTCCTCCTGCCCTCAATCGTTCCCAGCATCAGGATCTTTTCCAATGAGTCGGCTCTTTGCATCAGGTGGCCAAAGTGGTTCTCCTTGACACTTGACAGGGTGGGGCTAGGACAGCGGGAGAGGGCGTGGCCTAAGCAATTGGTCTTTGTGAGAGGCAAGCTTTAGAGTGGCAGAAGGGTGGGACTTTAGAGAAATGCGCATAACCAGATTGGGAAGGGAGCACTAGAACAAGGGGAACGTTGGGAAAGTGCTGCCCAAGGCATAGAGCCCTGTGCTGGGGCCCTCACGCGTGTTCCACCAGGCTCTCTTTTCTCCACCTTCTCCAGGGCAGCCTGGACAACATGACCTGCCTCCTGGTCTGCTTTCCGGGGGCTCCCAGACCTTGTGAGGAGGCCATCAGGAAGGAGGTACTGCTCGATGCAGCCCTGGGACGCAGAGTTGCAGGTGAGCAGTGTTGGGAGTCCAGCGGAAAGGGTTGTCTGCCAGCCAAGCAACCCCACAATTCTTGTCTCTTTCTCAGAGCTGTGTGCCTCTGCCTCAGAGCCCCCCAGCTTGAACACAGTTTTCAGGACTCTGGCCTCTGAGGACATCCCGGATTTACCTCCTGGGGGAGGGCTCTACTGCAAGTGAGTTGGGGGGGCGGGGTAGGTTGGAATGGGAGCGTTGCTGGCAGGAGGAGGATGCCCTCCTGAAGGCCTTCCTTTGCTCTCTAGGGCCACAGTCATCGCTGAAGCTTATTCTCAGTTCTGTCATCCCTCAAGACAGTGCTGGGTGGTAAGGACCCTGTATTCTTGAACGTTTCTCATAGGAGCATGTAATTCAGGCCCCCACTCCACTCCTTTAAGTGATGGGGAAATTGCAGCCAGGGTGGATTTGCCCAATATATTAATAAATTCTCACACCTGGTCCTGAAGAATTGTGATAGGTGTGTGTGTGGGGGGGTGGGTTGGGGGGTGGGGTTGGAAGCAGAAGCAGAGAAAAGATTGTGCTTCTTCTCCAAGAAATATGCCTCTGATTTTGCTCCATCATTGGGAAAGACCCCGATGTTGGGAAAGATTGAGGGCAGGAGGAGAAGGGGGCAAGAGAAGATGAGATGGTTGGATGGCATCACCGACTCAATGGACATGAGTTTCAGCAAACTCCAGGAGATAGTGAAGGACGTGGAAGTCTTGCCTGCTGCAGCCCATGGGGTCACAAAGAATCGGACATGACTTAGCAACTGAACAACAACAACATTGCTCCATGAAGTGCCATCATCCCAAGCGCCACCCCCTCTATCCAGGAATAAGGCCAAAAATGCACGGAACGTTGATGACCAACTTGACTGCACTGCAGAGACCACCAGGACATCTCTGAGGGTGGTCTAGGTCTTAGAGGAGAGAGGTTGTGGATTGGGCCCAGATACCCTATTTGGGGGGCTTCCCTAGTGGTTTAGACAGTAAAGAATCTGCCTGCAATGCAGAAGACTTGGGTTCAATCCCTGGGTCAAGAAGATCCCCTGGAGAAGGGAATGGCTACCCACTCTAGTACTTTGGCCTGGAAAATTCCATGGGCAGAGGAGCCTGGTGGACAACAGTCCATGGGATCACAAAGCTTATTTGAAGATGTCCAAGGAGGTGGTGGGTAAAGCCATATAATCTAAGGTATGGGGTGGAAGTCTGGGAGGAAATGTGAGAATGGAAACTGGAAGGCCTTTGCAGGGCAGAGAAGAGAGCTGGGTTATTTATTACACTTTGGCGGAGAGTATGGATAATTTCTTAGCAGCAGAAAGGAGAACTTCGTAAGGATTCTTTTGATTTGTGACAGAAACCTCATTTAAACTGTGAAGACAAAGCAGAGAATTTACTGGTCCGTGTAATTGAAGAGTTCAGGGACTTAAGGCATGACTGCATCCAGTTGTCAAATGATGTCATGCGGTTAGTTTTATTTTCTCTGAGTTGGCTTCATTTCCTGGCAGGGTCTCCACATGAGGTGGCAGAGACTTGCTGCTCCAGGCTCAAGTCCCAGGAACCTAACATCCCCAGTGGAGCATGCGTTTCCCAGTACGGGCAGCCGCGGTTCCAGAGCTGCTTCTCATTGGCCACACTGGATCACGTGCCCGACGTGTCTCTGATTGGCCAGGCTGGCAGGCCCATCCCTTAGTGCCTGGTCTTGGAGTCCCCTCGCCCTAAAACAGAGGGGTTGAAGAGATGAGGAATGTTGGTTCCCCGAAGGAAAAAATAGAAGTGGAGCATTGTGAATACCAGGGAGTAAATACTGAGAGGCAAGAAGGGCTTCCTATTCACCGTCTTCCACATTTTGTTTTTACAGAAGGGGCAGAAAGGGGCTGAGGAACCCACTGCCCAGCTGGGACCTCAGCGGAATTAAGGAAGAGAACTCCCCTTCCCCAGTTACGCAGACCAGCGGAAGGAAGAGAAGCTGATGGAGGAACCCCACAATGTTTATTTCCCCTTCTCCTACTTCCCTCTCATAAGACGTCTTATGAGAGAGGGGAAATTCCACCCACCAGCTAGACCGAAAAAAAAAAAAATCCAAACCCCAAACCCAAATGTCTAATAATTAGAACTGACTGGACCCTGAAAAACACCCAGGTCAATAACCTTCTCTTTGCTTCCTATTTTTCATCTATTTGGCATGGAGGTTGGGGAAAGTTTTTATGATTAAATTTTAATTACATAATTCAAAATATATTTTTGTTGTGGAAAAAAAACCCATAGGCATTATTTGCTCTGTCATTTGGCAAATATGTATGGGGCACCTGCTGTGGGCAAAAGGCCCTGCTCATGGCCATCAACCTGGCAGACCCACTGAAGTTCCTCCCCCTGGAACCTTCTGGTGTGGGGGAACAGCAAACAAGGGAACCCATAACAAGGTCATCTCAGACACTGACAAGGGTCTTAGAAGAAAAAAAAAAGGAGATGGGGGATGTGATTAAGAAAACGTCTAAGGGAACTATGTTGGTTTTTTACATTGCTATCTATGGGTAATAAGTTCACTTGGTTTGAAATTCAAAGAGCACAAAATGGTATACAATGACAAGTCCCCACCCATAATCACTCTGTTTTCCACCTGGGGATGGTCACTTTAGACAGGGGGATTCGTGAAGACCTCTGAGGAGGGGACAGCTGAATAGAAACCTAACAGAGAACTAGTCAGCCATGCACAAACCCCTTGGGGCAGAAGGAACAGCTAGTGTGAAAGCCTAGAGGAAAGATTGAACTTGACATTTTCTTTCTTCCTTTTTTAAAATTTTGCTGGCACTGGGTCTTCATTGCTGCCCATGGGCATCCTCTAGTTGACAGCAGTGAGCGAGGGGTTCTGTTATTTCAGGAGCTTGGGATCTAGGGCACACAGGCTTTAGTCGTTGAGGCATATGGGCTCTGCAGTTGAGCTCAGAGGTTCTAGAGCATTGGGCTCAGTAGTTGTGGTGCATGGGCTTAGTTGCCCTGAGGCCATGTGGAAATCTTCCCCGACCATGTCTCCAGCACTGGCAGTTGGATTCTTAACCACTGGACCATCAGGGAAGTCCCAAACTTGGCATTTTAGAGATGAGGCTTGAGATTATGATCATCAAACTTTCCATGATGCCATTTCACTGTCCTATTGGTAATCCCTGCAATGAGTTTGGAGTGGATGTTTTGAGACCTTTTATTAGGCAAGTACACAGGCATATATGGTACCTTAAAATGTTTCCTTGATTTTTACTCATACCCTATGTATCATTTGGTAATTTGTTTCCTTTTACTCAATAATGTGTTGGAGCCTTCTTTCCTGCCACTTGCACACACCTCATTCTTTTTAGCTGCCTCTCAGCACTTCAGACAAGAGATATGGAATGGTTTCAACACCCATCATCCTCTTGATGGATATTTAGGTTGTTTCCAGTTTTTTACCCTTACATTGCTGCTGCCATAAAGATTCTTGATCAGACTCCTGTGTACACATGCAAGAGTTTCTCTAGTGCTGGGGTCTTGCCACCTTTTTTGTACAGCACTTGAGCTTATAATGATTTTTACATTTTTAAAGGGTTGTAAAAAAATACATAAAAGAGGACCTATGTCTAATATACCTAAAATATTTTCTATTTGGATTTATTTATTTGGCTGCTCTGGGTCTTACTTGCAGCACGTGCAATCTAGTTCCCTGACCAGGGATGGAACCCGGGCCCCCTACTTGTGGTCTTAGCCACTGGACCACCGGGGGGGAAGTCCCTATTTGGATCTTTACCAAAACATTTGCTGACTATAGTGCAAGTGGCACACAGAAGCACCACTTTCCCATTTCACAGATGGGAAAGCTGAGACCCAGAGAGGAAAAAGGACTTGCCCATGGTCACAAAGAACTGGAGTTCTCAAGTCTGTCCCCAAACGACTCACAGCCTGAGGAGACACGCAGAGAAACAATTATAACCTACAGTGGATCAGGGTTTAAGGCCTTCCACTGTGGGGTAGGGGAGAAGGAAATGGCAACCCACTCCAGTATTCTTGCCTAGAGAATCCTGTGGACAGAGGAGCCTGGTGGGCTGCGTCTATGGGGTCGCACAGAGTCGGACACGACTGAAGTGACAGCAGCAGCAGTGGGGGGTAGCGAAGGGGAGAGGATTACTCAGTTCTTCAGAGAAGAATTAATATCAGAGACTGGCCTCGAATAATGAGGTAAAGGAGATCCGGGTATCACCCAGGCAGCAGTCTCCTTTTGGAAAAAGGTAGGAAGCTTGATTCCCTCACCAAGTCAGCTAGGCCCTGAGAATTGTTTTACTCTCATTAACCACCGAAGTCCTGGTGGCTCAATCAAGAGGGCTCTAGCCCAGATTTATTCCCTGCCTCTAGACCTCAGTTTATCCATTTCTAAACTTCCAGCTGATTTCCCAGACTCCTGCCCCCCAGGCCAGGTGGCGCTCTACGGGAGGGGTGTGGTCATATTGCTGGCGTCACGTGGGGGTGGAGTCTGCGGGTCCCGTGGCGGAAGCCCGGGAGGGTGTAGGGACTCAGCCTGAACCTGGCGCGTGGGGGAGGGGGCTCGCAGGAGTCGGCAGAGGGAGGATCCCCCAACTCCGTGCCCTCGGATTGCTGCATGATCCCACCATCCTCCGCACGCGAAACTGAGTCACGGCGGGGCATGCGTGGGTACGGGGCCGGGAGCCTTATTCACACAGGGATCGGGAGTCCCATTCCCACCCAGGTCCACCGCTGCACCACCCCCCCACCCCGCCCCACACACACACCCTGCGGTTGTGAGTCAGCGGCCGGCCGCGCCCCCTCGGCCCACTTCCTCCTCACCTTCCCTGGCCGGGCGGGGGTGGGGGGCAACGAGAGAGGTGGGCCCCCTCCCCACCCATCCCCCCTCGTCGGCGAGGGAGGTGGACCACCCTTTAGTGACCCCTCATAAATTGGGGGAGGAGGGAGACCTTGGCGGGGGGGCGTCCCGAAGGTAGGATTTAAGGGAGAAAATCGGAGAAAATCTATGCTTGACCCGAGGGCCTCCTCGCCCCCCAAATTGAGTAGAATGTAAAGAAATGGAAAAAAGTCGATGAGGAGAGTGAGAAGAAATTGTGCCCCCACTGATATTCATTCCCCTAAGAATTTCCATCGTGGGAGAGAACTCAGGATCAAGGAAGGATCCCTTCCCCTCAATCAAGCTTCCCCTCTAATTTGGGGGTGACCCCCAGAGTGCATCGCTGTGCAAAAACGTTAGGGAAGAGGGAAAAAGCGGAAGTCGAAGGTTCCGCGTTGCCCTTTTAAGCGCCCTCCACCAACACCCCCCCCAACCCCACCGCCTTAAGGTGTCCGCGGCCTCTTTAAGGCGCAGGGCATTGTGGGTGCGGGGAGTGGAATTTTGGAACGAAATGTAGCAAAGAGAAGTACAGTAGTAAGAGTAACATTGTAGCTGCCGCCGGCCGAGGGGGCGCGCCGGGGAGGGGACGCCGCACCCTCTTTCTGCCGCACGGACCCCCCGAGCAGAACCCCAGAGGGAAGAGGCGCCCGAGGACCCGCCCCGGCCCTGTCCACGTTCCTCCCCAGGAAGCCGGACTCTATGGGGCGGGACCCTGGGGGAGACTGAGCAGAACCTAGAACCAGCGCTGAACCTCTGAACCCCGAGCCAGGGGCGCCCCGGGAGCACCTAGCCCGTGGGCGCTCCGCCCGCCCGCCCGCCGAGCAGCCATGAGGTGAGCCTCCAACTGCCTCCAGACCGTTCCCCGGCCGGCGCGGGCTCCTGCCGCCCTGCCTTTGTCCCCTCCTCCCCCCAGCTTGGTCCCGCTTGGAATTTGGGGACTGGGCACTGGGAGCCTCGGATTTGAGGCCGAGCCCCCTTGGACGAACTCCAAACACTGACCACTTCCCCTTGACTCTCAAGGCTCTGGGTGGTGCCGTGAGATTTTCCTGGGAGCCCTTAGGTTTGGGGGCGCTCCGAGGACTCCCGAAATTTTTAAGACTTTTCAGAGAACCTCCAAGTTGGCAAATAATCCCCGCAGAGAGGCTAGGGGTTAGGCGGGACTCAGACTGTCCCCAGATCTCAACGTGGCCCTGAGAGGGATTATGGGGGGCCGGTTTGGGAGTCCCCTGGGACCTGGAAGAGAGACTGAAGCGTAGAGCTTGGTTTTCGGGGTCCCCCATACATGGCGCTGGAAATTCTTCCCACGAGGGAGTTTGATCATTAACTTCGGGGGTACTTAACCCCTAAATTTGGGCGGTTCATCCCCCTGTGAAGGAGGTTGATGTGGACGGATCCAGGGACCCAGACGCAGCCTGGAGGGTCTGGTTGGGACTCCCGTTCCTCGCCGCTCCCCACCCACAATGTGCTTAAAACAGGCTGTGCCTAGGAGGGAGCGAGCGCTCTGTGCCGAGGGCGCCTCCCCGGCCCCGGCCCGAAGGGCGGCCCCTCTCCCCCACCTGCGCGGCCCTGGAGAGGGAGGGGGCGCGGCAGCTGGGTAAGGGGGGCCTTTGTCTAACTGACTCACCTGTCGAGACAGCTGGTGTGTGTGGGGGGGGGTGGCTGAGAGCGCCGTGGGCCGGCTGCTTTCCCCACCACGGTGCCTCCCCCTTCTCTCAACACCGCCCCCCCGCTTCCCTAGCCGTCCGGAGTTGTGCCGTTGGAGGAGGGGGCGTTGGAAAGCCTCAAGGTCATAGCCCTCTCCCCCTGGGACTCAGGCTTCCCAGAGAGTTCCAGCTATCTTCCCAGGAATTTAATCCTGGCTGGGGGGCCCAAGGGACCCAGGGATTTTGTTTTTCCCGGAGCCTCCCTCAAAACTCCTGGGCTCACCTGAGGGCGGGGCCGGTGCGGACTGGGGGACCCGACTGGCCCTCCCCCTCACTCTCCCATCCTCCCCGGCCCCCCATAATCTCTCCCTTGAGGCCTGAGCCTGACAATACTATCTCCCTTCCTCTACTCTCTCAGAGACTTCCTGCTCCAAAGCCCCCAGCTTGAGGGGGAGGCCCCTGGGGGGCCGCTGGGGATTAACCCCCTGGGGCCCACATCCTCTCTCATCCGCCACATTCCCTGCCCTTTGACATCTGGGTGGCATTCCTTTTGTGGTCCTTAGAGAATCCCCCCTCCCACATTTGTTCCTTCTGCTGAAAACGGATTGTTGGAAAATTTGGAGCGGTGGGGGCACCCACAGACACCCACAAGACTTCCTGCCTACCCTTTGCCTCATTATAGCAACACCTCTAAAAGGTCTGCCCGCAGAGAGGGCAGTTTTGGAGAGTCAGACCCTCTTCCTTCGCCTTCTTCCCGGGGGACGCTCCTCTCCCACTGCCCCCAGCCCCGCCCCTTGCGCGCGCCCCCCCTCGCGTTTCCGGTCCCAGGCACGGTGGAAGGCGGATGGCGGATGTCCGAGTTAGTGCTGCCTCACTCACTGAGACCGTAAAAGGGCAGGAGCAATGTCTGGGCCAGCCTCCCGCCCCCGCCTCCCCCAGTCCCAGAGGCCCTGGCCCTCCCACAAGGCCCCCTGCTACTGCGAGCCATGACCAAACCTCCTATATCTCCTGGAGGGTGGGCAGAAGTTAACTGATGCCTGTCCCACCAGAGAGTTACGCCCATCTCCTGAAGGGTCTTCTGCTGATGGCCACACTGGCCCTCTTGGGCTGTGCCCCTTCTCCCAGGACAGCTAGGATTCAAAAAGACCCACGGCCCTGTCTAGGGGCTGCTGGGGAAACTGAGGGAGGCTCAAAGAGAGAAAGGCCTGGCCCAAGATCCCTCAGAAATTTCTAAGTAGTGTTGAGGGATGGGAGGGCACTGGGATCCTCTGATTTCTGGCTGGTTAGGCTGGAGACGGTCTTGGGGACAGTTGGAAGAGAGGCTGTTAAGATGGAAAATTACAGTTTTTCTTTTCTCAGTTTGACAAATATTTGTTGAGTGCTGTGTCCGGGACTCTGCGCTGGAATTCTGGGAAGGGGGGCAGAGGTCTTAGACTCTTAGGGCAGAGGAGACTCTAGAAGAATTTGGTTCATTTATTATTGTTTTTAATAATGAGAGATCATTTGATCAACACCTTTGTGCCAGGCACTGTACCAGGTGTCTGATTCAAATTAATCCTCACGGCAATTCTAAGAGATTGATACTATTATGATCGTCCCCCCTTTCCCAGATGGGAAAATTGAGGCACAGGGGAATTAAGCAGATTACCTATTAAAGTCAGTTTGGAAGTAGGCGAGTCTGAATATGAACCCAGGCCTCTTTCCAGACTATTATACTGTTAAAGAAAAGCAAAATCAAACCTTTAATGGCCTTAGAAAAAAACAAGTAACCTGCTTTTACTGTACAAACACTGAAGATAATGTTGATAAGCAAGAAGGAACCCAGTTACCTTCCTGTTCACTTATGGGGAACTGAGGCCTGTCAGGAAGGAGGGACTAGAGTGAACTCATATAAGCCCCACAAACCCTAAACCTGTGTCTCTATGCAGGATTGCTTCAAATATTTGTAGTTTGGAAAGGCTGTGTATGCCTGGGTCTTTGTGGGGTGGATTACAATTTAAGGGGCTATCAGATGAAGGGGTAGAAGGAAGGGCAAACCTCTCAATGGGAAAGTTTAAGTAAACCAAAGTGACTGTGCTTGATTGCCTCCCGTGATGAGAAGCTCTCTCCTTCCTGTATTGCTTCTCATCTCCCTTATATGTTGTGTGTGTGCTTAGTCACTCGAGTCCGACTCTTTGTGACCCTTTGGACTATAGCCCGCCAGGCTCCTCTGTCCATGGGATTCTCCAGGCAAGAATATTGGAGTGGGTTGCCATTTCCTTCTCCAGGGGATCTTCCCAATCCAGGGATCAAACCCACACTTCCTGTGACTCCTGCATTGCAGGCAGATTCTTTACTCTCTGAGCCATCAGGAAGCTCTCCCTTTTGGTCCTGTGTCAAATTCCAGGTCCTGCGCTTAAGGCTTTTCTTATCTCTTTCAATCCTTACCAAACCCCAGTGAGTTATGGTTTCCAGGGCTGGAAAGTGAGGCTCCTAGAGGTGAAGCCATGCAGCAAGGGGGTGACTTCAATCCTCCTTTACCGACCACATACTGGAGATTTCCAGAATGGGAGGGCTTGTGGGAGAGTTCTGGGCTGACTGAGGATTCAGGCTGTCTCATGTCAAATTGAGGCTGTGAGACCCCAGTGTCGAGTTGAAAGTGTTAGTTGCTCAAGTTGTGTCTGACTCTTTGCAACCCCATGGAGCCTGCCGCCCTCCAGGCTCCTCTCTCATGGGATTTCCCAGGCAGGAATCCTGGAGTGGGTAGCCATGCCCTTCTTCAGGGGATCTTCCCAACCCAGGGATCAAACCTGTGTCTCCTGCATTGCAGGCAGATTCTTTACCGTCTGAGCCACCAGGGGAGCCCCCAGAGACCACTGGAATTAGGCAGACCTCATTTGCATTTCACTCCTGGCTTCCTGGCTGTGAGATTTTTCCGATCTAGCTTTTTGTCTGGTTTATAGGTGTTTTTTTTTTTTTTGTACTTAAGTAATGAATTAATTTTTTATAGGTAATACCAGCCCATGGTAAAACAAAGCAAAAAGAAAAGACATAAGCAACTCAAGTGGGTAAACAGTGCAAACTGTCCATTTCCTGCCTCCCTCGTCAGACCCCCGGTGCCCCAGTGCCTCAGAGGCGAGCAGGGGAGGCTAGTCCCCTGAGAAGCAACCTCTGCTTTTCACCACTCTGGGTACAGAGGTATTTATATCCTCCCCACCTTTTTTTTTTTAAAAAAAAAACCTCTCACACCACTTTATACCTTGCCTTAAAAAAAAAAAAAATCAGCTTAGCTGTTTCCTCATCTTTAAATGAGGTTAAGAACATTGGGGGTGGGGAAGATCAGGACTTGGGTTCAAATATGAGCCCCTCTGCTTTTTGCTGTGTGACCTGGGATGACTGTCTTCATCCCTCTGTGGCCACAGTTCCTTGTCTGGAAAAAGGGTGTGCACTGAGGTCACCGCCAGGTTCACTGTGGCAGCTGGAGCTCAGTACCTGCAACGGTGTCTGGGACACAGACTAACCAATACATGTCAGCTGCTGTTAAAAAAAACTTTCCTTTTTTTGTAGATGGCTAATTTAACAACTCCTGGATACCTGCTCGGTTCTAGGCACGAGTCTAGGTTCTGAGAACACAGCAGTGAACAGAAAGGACAAAAATCCCTGCCCTTGTGGTCCTGACATTTTGATGGGGGAGACAGATAGGGCCCTGTCAGGCAGGAATTGGGTGTTATGAAACATGGTTCATTCAGTGAGAGCTTTTCCTGGTAGGGTAGTCAGGGAGGGCTTCTCGGAAGAGGTGATGGCTAAGCAGAGACCCGAAGGAGGTGAAAATCCAGGTTGAGCGAGAACGAGAACACAGCCCAGAGGTGGGAATGTGTCTGGCATGTTGAAGTGGGGGCTAGAATGGCTGGTGGGGCCGGTCAAGGGGAGATCAGAGATCATACAGATCACGAAGACCCCAGAGAGAACTTGGCCAGAATAAAAATTCTGCTGGGAGCCGCCAGGGGAGCTTCCACGAAGAGGAGAGACACAATCTGACTTGTGTTTTAACAGGATCCTTTTGCTGGAATGGGGACACCGTGGCTTGGAGAGGGGCAAGACCAGTCCGGGGTCACTCAGCAAATAGCCAGTGCTCAGGCTCGTCCAGAGACTGAGCAGGCAGGGGCTCTTGGAGAGAGCAAAGTGCAGCCAGGGTGGTGTAGCAACAGAGGCCCTGGGCACCTGGCCAGAGTCTGCTCTGGGTGTGGGCGGCAGGTGTGGGCGAGGCCTTAACCCTGCCCTGCCAGGGGCAGTGGAAGCCAGAAACAGCCCCTGAGGCTGCGCTTGTCTAGAACCAGCACCTGGTGTGTGGGCAGGGCCCACACAGTCCGCGGTGGTGAAGACAGTGGACTTGGGAGCCAGGTGGCCTGGGTTCAGATCCTCACTCTGCTAGCTACTCGCTGTGTGACCAGGGGCGAGTCCTGCGACCTCTCTGTGCCACTGTTTGCAGTCCTTGCAGAATGAGGATGAAATGGCCCGCCTAGAAGAGCTGCAGTGAGAATAAAATGAGAGACTCCGGAGAAAGGGCTGGGTTGAAGTGCCTGATGAGAAGGAGGCCCCCTGATTATGTAAACCTGGGGGCTTACCTCCCTGGCCTGAGAACTCAGATCTGGGCCCGAGGGGGCTCTCCCTGCCTTGTCGTTTATAGAGTCCCTGTCACGCTCCAGCCCCCAGCCCTGGTAGAGACAGAGCCTTTGGGGGGTATAATTTCTCTCCCCAGAAACCTCTGACCACCAACTTCCTCTTTTCAGGAAAAAGTCCGGTGGGGGTTGGGGCTGGGCAGGGACTAGTGCTTCCCCCTGGTTTGTGGGTGACCTTGGCCAAGTCACTTCCCGTCTGGAAGCCTGAGTTTCCCCACTGAGAGAGGAGGGCATTGAACCTTCCCAGAAGGACTGGTGGGGGGTGGAGGAGGGCCCCTTGGTGCCTGTTCAGAGCGCCTGGGGAAGGGATGCTGACAGTTACTCAGCACTCATGCCAGGCCCCACGCCAAGTACTCCGCATGCCCAGACTCATTTACTTCACCCACTGCCCTGGGAGGTGGGGTCTGTCATTTCCCCAGTTTGCGGGCAAAGAAGATGACTTCTGTGGGAAGGTTGCTTGCCTGAGTCACATGGAGTAGGTGGCCCAGTGGGGATTTGAACCTATGTCTGGATCAGATCCTGAACCCTGAGCCAGTTTACTGAGACCCCCACCCCTACCCCAGGGCTAAGTCAGATGTCACCTCCTCCAGGAAGTCTTCTCTGATCCAAAGGCAGGGGCAGGCCCTCCTTCTGGGCAACCCCAGGCCTGGTCTTGGATTATCACCATGTGCGGACAGGACAGTCCCTTGCGATGCTCTCCTGCCCTGGAGGGTGGGGCCGGGGCTGTCTGGGTCACTGCCTGACACAGAGCAGGGAGTGTCTGCTGATGGCCGTTGGTGCCAGGGGGTGGGGGAGGGCGGGTGGCGCCGGATGGATGGGGTGGGCAGCAGGAAGGGGAAGAGCCTGGGATCTCGGCATCGGTCCCCAACTTGCTGCAAGCCTTACCCTTCACCTCCCTGAGCCTCAGCTTCCTCCTCCACAGTGGAAAGTAGGGGCGGGAAGGTCCAAGCCTCCCGACAGAGACAGGGAAACTGAGGCTCCAAGGGCATCAGGCAGGGGCTTGTTCCCAGTGCTGCCCAGGTCACCTGCTCTGTCCCTTTCGTCCGCTTCTCCCGGGCCCCCTTGCTCCAGCTCTCACGCCACATCTCTGTCTGTCCATCTCGGTCCTTCTTCATCGGCCTCTCTCTGCTCTCTGCCTTTGCATCTCTTCTCCCCATTACTCCTTTCAGTCCGTCTCCCCTGTACCCATCTGACCCCCTTTCTTACCTCTCTCTCCCCATCATCAGTCTGTATGTTTTTGTCTCTTCCAGCCGGTCTGACTCTTCCTCTTCCTGTCTCTTGCTCCCCGTTTGACTGTCTGTCTCTTTCCTTGTCTGTCTCACATCCCCCAGCTTGTCTATTTGTCTGTCTCTCCCAGTCTGTCTTTCGCCGTCCCACCTGTCTTTTTCCCCTCCGGTCTCCCTATCTGGGTCTCTCTGAGGGCCCGTCCTCAGCCCTCTCTCTCGGTCTGTCTTCCTCTTCTTCTCCGTGGGTCCCTCTTCCTGGCATACTGTCTTTGTGTCTCCGAATCTCCCAGGGGGACGAAAAGGTGACCAGCCCCTGGGGGAGGATGCCAGGCTCCCAACAGCTAACTGGCCTCTCTCCCTTTCCCCCGCCCGCCTCTCTGCAGCGAGACGGTTGTGTGCACCAGCCGGGCCACGGTGATGCTCTACGATGACAGCAACAAGCGCTGGCTGCCCGCCGGCACGGGCCCGCAGGCCTTCAGCCGCGTCCAGATCTATCACAACCCCACCGCCAACTCCTTCCGGGTGGTCGGCCGCAAGATGCTGCCGGACCAGCAGGTGAGGCTCCCCTCCTCCTCGCCCCCTCTGCCTGTGGTACCTCACCATCCCTCACCCACTTCTCCCCCCTGACTCCCGCCAGGTGGTCATCAACTGTGCCATCGTCCGGGGTGTCAAGTATAACCAGGCCACCCCCAACTTCCACCAGTGGCGCGACGCCCGGCAGGTCTGGGGCCTCAACTTTGGCAGCAAGGAGGATGCCACGCAGTTTGCCAACGGCATGGCCAGTGCCCTAGAGGCCTTGGAAGGTTAGAGACAGCTGGCGGAGGGGACCATTGAGCCCTGCCGTGGGGCCTGGGGCCGCCCTTTTACCACTCGGCCTCAGTTTACGCATCTGAAAACAGGGCCCATTCACTGCTGCTATGGAGAGTTACTGGGCTGGCCAAAAAGCTCATTCAGGTTTTTCCGATGTTACTTAAAAACCCAAATGGATTTTTTTGGCCAACCCAGTTTTGTGGGCTCCTCTTTGCCCTGAGTGCACCCACATGTAAAATGCATGGTTCCTAAGAGCCCATTTTGCTCCACGAATTTTTACACTTGCACACTTCTGTGTGACCGCCTCTCAGATCAAGATAGAAATATTTCAGGCCTCCAGGAGGTTTCTTGTGCCCTTTCTCCAGGTAACCATTAGACTGACTGACGTCATTGTCAGTCACATTGTCAGCAACAATGTTGAGAAAAAACTTCCAGTTGGTATTTCTTAAACTGGAATGTGCCCGCGAGTCATCTAGGAAAAAATGCAGATTCTGGATCAGGTAGGTGGGCCAAGGCTGGAGCCTCTGTGCTTCCAACAAGCTCCCTGATGGATGCCAAAGTTTACCAGTCCATAAAGAGCGCTTTGAGGAGCAAAGGTTTTAGGTGATGGCTGTGCATCTAGGTTTGCCAGTCATCAAATGGTGGAGGCGTTTGCTTCCAGGAGCAACTTCAGTGGCAGTCTGAAGCACAGGAAACACACGGGGGCCAGAGGCCTGGGGGTGGGTGAGGAGGGGGCTGTCAGCCTCTTCTGAGCTCTCAGGTAGGGGGTCTGAGCAGCTGTGACTGTGTGTCAAGAGCCTGGATTCTGGAATCTGCCTGAATTCAAGTCTTGTCCCTGCAGATTCCCATCTTTAGGTCTTGGGGCGGGAGACCCCTTCTCTGGGGCTTTGCTGTCCTGCCTGTGATCTGGGTATCCTTCCACTGCCTGTCAGCTCAGTCAGGGGAAGCGGGTGACAACCCTCTTCACAGGGTACCTGGGGGCCCCTTGGGAGCATGCCAAGGGGTGGAGCTGGCTTCCGTGTGACTCACTAGCCTTTACTCTCACTTCCAGGAGGTGGGCCCCCACCCCCACCACCACCTACAGCGCCTCCCACCTGGTCTGCCCAGAATGGCCCCTCCCCAGAGGAGATGGAGCAGCAGAAAAGGTGGGGCCGGTCCCTGGGTGGGGAACCTTCCCCCGGCCAGAGTTCTAGGTGGTTCCAGAACCCCTGACGCCTTGAGTTCACACCTCTCCAATTTTCAGAATGTTCCAACTCCCAGGGGACTAGAAATCCACATATTTAAGAACCACCCTTCCCCACTTGGGAGTCTGAAAAACTGATGCCCAGAGTTACAGAACCTTCTGACCTTCAAATCCCAGTCCCCTGGACTCCCAGAGTCCAGAACTGGGTTGTTTAAAGGATCTTGGGCGTTTTGTGATTCTTGATGGTCTGATGACTAGATAGCTCACATCCTGGTCTCGCTCTGTCCCTGCCCTCACCACTGCCCCCCCCCCCCCAGCCCTCTCCTGGGCCCATGGGGGTAGAGGACATGAGTGGGGTTAGGAACCAGCCCTGCCGGGACACCTCTGAGCGGCAGTCCGGGCGGTTGCTGGCTCTCTGGGAGCCCTGAGTGATAGCCACTCACCCTCCCTCCCCAGGCAGCAGCAGTCAGAGCTCATGGAGCGCGAGCGCAGAGCCTCCAACGCAGGTGATTGCCCAACTGGCCTCGGGGGTCAGGGGACCACCCCAGAGGAGGGGGTGGGCCAGCCGGATAATAAAGAATGAAGCTTCTCGCTTAGCACCCCTCCTGTTTTGTGTTTCTTACAGGAGGCCCGCCTGCTCCCCCAGCTGGGGGACCACCACCGCCCCCGGGACCTCCCCCTCCTCCGGGTCCACCCCCACCCCCTGGGCTCTCCTCCTCAGGGGTCTCGGCCGCCCCACAGGGAGCAGGGGGAGGCCCACCCCCAGCACCCCCTCTCCCCACAGCACAAGGGCCCAGTGGTGGAGGGACTGGGGCCCCCAGCCTGGCCTCAGCCATTGCCGGCGCCAAACTCAGGAAAGTTAGCAAGGTGAGGGGCAGATACAGTGGGTATGGGGTGACGGGTCTGATATAATAATGGAAAGAGGCCAGAGTTGCCTGGGAGCCTCACAGGAGGGCTGGGAGGCCCGCCCGTAAGCCCCCTCTTCTCTGTAATTTCTCTAGCAGGAGGAGGCTTCAGCGGGGCCCGTGGCCCCCAAAGCTGAGAGCAGTCGAAGCACAGGCGGGGGCCTCATGGAAGAGATGAACGCCATGCTGGCCCGGAGGTGAGCCTGAGCCCAGAGCTGGCAATGGTCGCGGAAAGCTCTCAAAACAAACCCTCAGCCCAGCAGTTATCACTGCTGGGATTCCAGTTCAGTAGGACCAGGTGTGAGGAGAGTTCGGATTCCTGGTTAGTTTGTTTCTTTGGGTGAAAGTTCATCCTTTGATAGCTAGGTTTGAGATATAATGATGGGGACTGCATTCTCCTGAGATGGCTGAGATTTGCAACCCCCTAAGTAGCCTCTGGAATGTTCTGGAACCCAGAATTCTAGGACCTTCGGTGACCCCACCTCAGAAGCTGGGGACTCTGCCCTGAGAATTTTGTGATTCCCAAATGCAGGAATCCTAACCGCCGCCCCCCCCACCCCCAATTCGTGAACAGTTCCCTCTTTAACTTCTAAAATTAAAATGTGCTTAGCCTTGACGGATTCCAGAAGTCTGCACCCTAGGACCCACTTTTCCAGAACTCTGGGGAAGGGAACTGTTGAGTAGCTGAGAGAGGACTGGAGCCATCTGTTTTTGCCTTTCTCTCTCACAGAAGGAAAGCCACGCAAGTTGGGGAGAAGCCCGCCAAGGATGAATCTGCCAGTGTGAGTTAGGGGCCCTTCCTGCCTCGTACGCCTTAGGATGTGCCTTAGAGTAGGAATGTTGGGGTGGGGGCTGTGATAGGGATTGGCTGTGTTTGAAGGTGGAGGAAGAAAAGGAGCAGAATGGCCATGTCGGGTTCGTGACAGTTTTATTTCCCACCAGCAGGAGGAGTCAGACGCCAGAATCCCAGCCCACAGTGGTGAGTGAGAGCCCAGTCTAGTCACAGGAACTACGAGTCCCAGGATGCTGTCTTCTCATATATAACACTCCTTCATGGGAGAGTCTGTACAGATAATCCTGTGGATTGTAGTCTCCTGAGATGGTTCTTTGAATGGGGGCAGATGAGGCTCGGGAAGAAAGGCTGAGGCAGTGCATTCCTTGTTTCTGAACTTTTTGACTTATTGTCTGTCCCCCAGAATCTGTGCGGAGACCCTGGGAGAAGAACAGCACAACCTTGCCAAGGTGGGCCATCAGTACTGGGGCCCCACCCCCAGAAAGAGTCGGACTTGCCAAATTTGTAGGGAGGAACACAGTGTGACCCCTGGAATGGGAGGCAGGGGAGGCAGACCCTCTCTCTAACCTCATTTCTGCCCCACACCACACCACCTCTCCCAGGATGAAGTCGTCTTCTTCAGCGACCACTTCCGAGGCCCACCCCGCTACACCTAGCTCCAGTGACGAGTCAGACCTGGAGAGGGTGAAACAGGTAGGGGAGGGGACTGGGGGTGAAGCTCAGGGGATAGAAAAGAGATCTGGGTCTAGACTCTGCCACTGACCTGCTATGTGATTCTAGAAAAGGCCTTGGAACCCTCAGCTTCCCAGTCTGAGAACTGGAGAAATTGGGTCGTGTCAGGGATGACAGACCCCATAACCGCCTTGTCCAATGCCCATGACAGTCCTTACTAATCTATCACTGCACTCATTCCTGATGAGTATCCAGAATCCTTTTCAGCACACTGGCCGCAGACATTTATCACCATCCGGAGTTGGCAGGAGACTGGAATGTCTTATTTGCCAACCCTGGTACTGGATGTTCTCCAGTACTTTTCTCTCTGGCTCAGAGGATCCAGAATTCTCCCCTAGAAATCTCAGTCACTTTGTGGCCTCGCCAGTGATGTCATGGTGTGTGTGGGATATGGGTCTTGACCCTTCTTCCTCTGGCCCCTCAGTCGTTAATAAGAAATGGGGGATTTACTTTGTAAGTCCAGGTACTTTTCCTCATTGGTTGTACCCCCATTATTTTCAGGAGCTTCTGGAAGAGGTGAGGAAGGAATTGCAGAAAATGAAAGAGGAAATAATTGAAGGTGAGGTGTTTCTTTTTCTTTTTAAACATTTATTTATTTTGGAGGCATGGTGTCCCTTGACAAGCCCTTGTTTTGGAAGGGAGAAGGGAAAGAGGCTCTGCCCCTGACCTCTGCCCACTGTTTCCTTCCAGCCTTTGTCCAGGAGCTGAGGAAGCGGGGTGCCCCCTGACCACAGGGCCCCAGAAAATCCAGTTTCTCCTTTCCGCACACCCCCTCCGCCTGTCACCCTGCTTTCCCTGCCTCGACTTGACTTGGAATTGGCTGAAGACTACACAGGAATGCATCTTCCCCACTCCCTATGTCACTTGGAAAATTCCAAGGGGGTGTGGCTTCCCCAGCACCACGCCCACACCCATATTGGCTGCTGATTGGATGGGGAAGCCCCCACCCTTTGTTCCCTTTGGTCCTTCCCCTCTGCCATCCCCTTGGGGCTGGTTCCTCTGCTGGGGATGTACCAAGTAACCCCACAGTAAGGGGGAGGGAAGGAGGGAATTTCACATTCCCTTGTTGTAGATTCACTTTAACGCTTAATGCCTTTGAAGTTTTGTTTTTTAAGAAAAAAAAAGTATATATATATATATATTTAGGTTTGTGGGGGGAGGAAATTTTTTTTTCTCTTTGGTTTTGATAAAATGGGGTGTGGGAGTTTTTAAATGCTGTGCCCCTGGCTTGTCCCATTTAGGACAGCTGTGTAAGGAGGGTTGTCCCACGAGGCTGGGGGTGCCTCCCCCTACCCCAGGGACCTCCCTCCCTTCCCTCTGGCTCCTTCCCCTTTTCTATGAGGAATTAAGATGCTGTAACTTTTTGGAACCTCAGTTTTTTGGTTTTTTATTTGGGTAGGTTTTGGGGTCCAGGCCATTTTTACCCCCTGGGGAGAAACAAGATAAGGGGGAAAGGAATAGGAGAGGAAACCTCTCCTCTTACCTTCACCTTTAGCTTCTTGGAAATGGGCCCCTGCGGAATAAATCTGCCAGTTTTTATAAATGCTAAGATTTCTGGAGTCATTTGAATGGCTGCTCTCATGAGGATGGTCGTGTCCCTCCCTCCTCCAGTAATCCACCTTCCCTCACCTTCCTCCTTCCCACCCGAACCTGTTCTTCTGCCCCCTCTTGGCCTCCTGGTGCCCCTCAACAGGCAACTTCCTTGCTCCTTTCCACCCAGCCCTAGAGAAAGCCAAGGGCATCCCTCATTGAACGTTTGCCCTTGGGCCAGACCCTTTGGTTCTCCTGGACCTCAGTGTTTTGGTCTGTGAAAGGGCTCAAAGGATGACTCAGGCCTTCTCCCACTGGGAACCCTTTGAGGTTCTAATTTTAGGGAGCCTTGTACCCATTTGGCAGATGTACATCATGGTTCTCAAGACACTTTCTTAAGATGACATTTTCCCCCCCAGAGCTCCTTTAATTATTACAATATTTACAGTCTTTAAAAAAAAAAGTAGAATTCAGGAATCAGCGGTCATACATACCCCTTCAGTGGTTCATTAGGTGGGCAGGGGGTAGGTGAGGTAGGTAACTGCCTGGTGGAATTATTCCATTCTGTTGGAGGTAGGGAACTTCAGGGCTGAGAGGCAGACTTCACTGGCGGAAGACTGCATGAAGGTGAGGGGTGGTAACTGAGTGTCCAGTTCAAAGGCAGAAAGTAAGGGGGAATCCCTGAGTAATCTGAAGAGCAGATTTGGATGGAGGGAAGGGTTGGGGGCGGGGGATCCACTTAAAGAGGGGAGGACCCCAGTCAGGATACCAATGGTGGACTAAATACAGGAGACACAGAGTGACTCAGAAGAGCTAATGCATGCCAAGATCCATCCTATTCCTAACCCCCTAAAAGAGTGAGGTAGATGGAAGGTCATGGGGTCAGGAAGTCCATCACAGGTTTCTGTATTTCCACTACAATGTTTTGTATCAGTGAAGAAGGGGGAGAAGGTAGATGGGGCTCCCAGGAAGAGGACCACTCCTCAGGTAGGTTGAAGATGTGAGTGATAAAATGAGAGATGGTGTATTGGTGGGTGGGTGGGGTCCAATGAAGACACCGCCTCTCCATTCCAAGGTGCTAAACCAGTGGAGTAGGGGGTGGGGGGGTTGGGCTGGAACATTTCACCAGTGGATGGGGGAGTCCCAGTAGAAGGTACCCCTCACTGGGCAGGTTAGTCGGGAGGTGACCAAAAGCCTGGTTGGATCAACCCCTGTCCAGAATCCCGACTTCCCCTAAAGGGGCCTGGTGGTATTAGCTGGGCCTGTTCAGGGAGGGATAGTGTGGACAGACATGGCAGCCCAGACATCAGTCTTGTCTGAGACCTGGGTCTGGCGGCCCCGCATCCTCTGGTGTGGGCTCTGCCTGGGGCGCCGGTGGCAGGTCCTGGATGCAGAGCTGGGTGCGCACCTCTCGCATCTGCACCTGCAGCTCCTCCAGGGCGCCCGGTGGCGGTGCCGCCTGCACCTGCACCTGCAGGGCCTCCAGCACCAGCGCTAGGTGGTCCACCTCGTCCCGCATCGCGTCCCAGGCGGCGAGCTGCTCCCCCTCCTTGCGCCGCTGTTGTGTCTTTTGTCGCGAGTACTCCAGCACCAGGCAGCCACAGGCCACCACGAAGATGGTGGCCTCGCCCAGCAGCTCAGCACCCAGCTCCGCGGCCGCCGCCTCATTCAGTGGCTTGATGGTTTCCGCATTGAAGCCCATGAGGCGCATCTTGGCCCGCATCTCGACCCAGTGGTACACTACAGGGGAAGAGAAGGGTCAGGGATCTTGGCTGGGACCGCAAGCCCTGCCCCTCGACGCTCGGTGTCCCTGTTGGAGCAATGGGGACGCAGCAGCCAGAATCGCGGGCGCTAGTGGGAAATGGGCGCCTTAACCAAGACCACCTCAGTTACCTGGCCAGAAGTGGTCTTGAGGGCTTTATTTTGAAAACGTCCAGAGGTTCTGGTGAACCACTGCAGATGAGAATTGCTGCCCTGGAGGGGAGGTCCAGGGTGTGGGGCTGCATCTCTAGGGGGAGTTGAGTGGTCACAAGCCCAGGGTAGGTGTAAACCTTGCTCCTGCCCCACCCCCAACCCACCAGCCAGGCTCCTTCCCTCTCCTCAAAGGTGGAGCTGATGGTGATGCACTCCGTCCTGAAGTGAGTTCACTGTGGGGTTCGGGGCTTTGTACGGAGCCCAGGGCTGGGGCTCCTGCTCTAATGCCAACTTCCTTATCTGATCACTTGTGTGAACAAGGGTTATCACCATTGTCCTCGTTTGTCAATGCAAGAGCTTCCTAGAGTTGATACTTAAGCCTGAATCCTTGCAGTAATAATTAATATCCATTCATTGATACAAGAACTGATGGGAAACATAAGGTTCCTTGGGCTCATTAAGGGATGAATTTCTGAAAACATTTATACTTGACTCTTTCCAACCGTCCTCCACAGCGATCAGGCTGACCTAATAAGTTTTTTGTTGTTTTTTTTTCCTTTAAGTTAGAAAAATAACGTGCACATGGGTGGTGGGGGGGATCATTTAGATTACACAGAAGTGGGTAAGTTGCAAGACGAAAGTCCATCTTTTCACTTCCAGTTTTGGTCCTCCTAGTCCTCAAAGGTTAACCACCTTTTCTTCTTTTTTTTGGGTCACTCTTGGTGACTTGCAGGATCTTAGTTTCCTGACCAGGCATTGAACCCAGGCCACATCAATGACAGCATGGAATCCCAATCATCTGACCACCAGGGGACTCCAAAGGTTGACCGCTTTTGATCTTTTTCTGTTGACATTTGTTAAGCAAAACATGATAAGGACCAGCCGTAAAGAAAAAGTTTGACATACTGGAATGCTATGAAATTATAAACTTTCATTCCTCAAAAGACCCCAGAGGGCAATTCCCCAGCAATCTAGTAGTTAAGACTCCATGCATCCAACGCCTCGGGCCCTGGTCTGATCCCTGGTGGGGGAACTAAGTTTCCACAGGCTGACCCAGTGTGACTAAAAAAGGGGGAAAAAGACACCAGCAAGAGAAAGAAAAGGCACGTTCCAGACTGGGAGAAGCCATTTGCACCACGCCTATCTGACAAAAAACTCTGATTCAGGATTCGCAAAGACCTCCTGGGGATCAATAAGAGGATGTCAGACCAGTCAATAGAAAAAGACTGAATCACCTAAGAGGAGAAGAACTAAATGGCCACTCTGTGTGTGTGTGTATGTGTGTGTGTGTGTGTGTGTGTGTTAGACTCTCAACCATATCTGACCTAAGAGGAGAAGAACTAAATGGCCACTCTGTGTGTGTGTGTGTGTGTTAGACTCTCAACCATATCTGACTCTTTGAGACCCCATGGACTGTACTCCAGGCTCCCCTGTCCCTGGGATTTCCCAGGCAGAATACTGAAGTGGGTTGCCATTCCCTTCTCCAGGGAATCTTCCTGACCCAGGGATCGAACCCGGGTCTCTTGCATTGCAGGCAGATTTTTTACCACATGAGCCACTAGGGAAGCCCACTAGACAAGTTAAAAAACAAATGCTGGCCTTTATTACACATCAGGAAAATACTAATTAAAATCACAAAGAGAAAGCAGTATACACCCACCCACCAGAAATGCTGGAATGAAAACACCACACATCCTGAAGTGAAGTGAAACTCACTCAGTCGTGTCCAACTCTTTGGGACCCCATGGACTATACAGTCCATGGAATTCTCCAGGCCAGAATACTGGAGTGGGTAACCATTCCCTTCTCCAGGGAATCTGCCCAACCCAGGGATCTAACCCAGGTCTCCTGTATTGCAGACGGATTCTTTACCAACTGAGCTATGAGGGAAGCCCGTTTCCACACATCCTAGGTGCTGCCAAAGACAAACCGCAGTCAGACTTGGAGGAAGTCACTGAGGACACCCACCCACTCTGGCAGCTGTTTGACAGTGACTACTAAATTTAGCATCCAATCCTGATAAACCAGCAATTCCGCTCCTGGGTGGACACCCACCAAAACCTGTCACATGTTCTCCCAGAGACATGTCCCTGCATGTTCATCTCAGTGCTATGAATAAAGGACCCGAGACAACTTGAATGCCCACCCATAATAGCAGGATTGGTTTTAAAAAAAAAAATGTACACAGTGAAACACTCAACAGCAGTGAGAACAAGTGGACCATGACAACATACAGCAAACTGAATAGAGGCCACACAAGCGTACATTGCTGTGTGATTTCATTTATGTAACATCCCCCAAGAGGCAACCTCAACCCACAGAGTTACAAGTCAGGAGAACGGTTACCCTTGGCGGGCTTAGTGACTGGAAAGGGGGCATGGTAGGCTTTCTAGGGGGCTGGTTATGTTCTGTTTCCTATTCTTTCTGTGAGTTTATCAAACTGGACACTTAGGATTTGTACACTTTGCTTTAGGTACATTACAATCCAGTTAAAATTTTTCATAACCCAAATGAACCAGTGTTGTCCACCCACCTTCCTGGTCTCTGCCAAGTGAGTTTCACTCGCAACATCTAGAGAGGCCAGAGGAATGCCCTTCATCAGTCTGTTCCTCCCTGTTGCCTGTGGGCGATCAGACTTGGCCTTGGCCACCTGTCAGATGAGCCTGAGATATCAAAGTTCAAGGTGCCCTGAATGCCTATTTAATCCTCTTCCAGTTGGGAAATTGTACGGGCCCCTCCCAAGAGGAATCCCAGTCTTATGATGTCCTCCAGGCTTCTGCCTGCGTGCAGGGAGCAGGGAACAGGGTTGTGATGGAACCATGAATTCTCTACTCTCCCTGAGGTCTGTTAGAAGGCAAAATGGATTGAGAACCCAGGCCTGAGAAATTCCAGTCCCCCACTCAAAATGGGAGGGGAAGGGGCATGACTATGGCTTGTGTTAAAGGGACTCAAAGACACATTCCTTTCTCTCTCTCTCTTTTTTAAACATTTGTAATTTTATTATTTTTTTCAAACTTTAAACTTTTTATTTTGTATTGGAGCATAGCTGATTAACAATGGTGTGATAGTTTCAAGTGAACAGGGAAGGGACTCAGCCATACATGGATACACATATATCCATTCTCCTCCGTAACCCCCTTTTATCCAGGCTGGCACAAGACATTGAGTAGAGTTCCCTGTGCTATACAGTAGGTCCGTGTTGGTTATCCATTTTGAATATAGCAGAAGACACATTCCTTTCTTGTTTAAAAAACAAAATTTGTTGATCCGTTAATGCAGTTTTTTTTTTTTTTGGCCAAGCAGCATGTGGGATCTTAGTTCCCCGACCTGGGATCTAAAATGCGTCCCCTGCATTGGAAACACAGAGTCTTAACCACTGGGTCACCTGGGAAGTCCCCAAGAGTCTTTATAATATAATTTTATTATATGATTTGAACCACAAGTTTTAAAAATATTCAAATTCCACAAGTCAATTACCTCCACAAATCTAGACAGTTCCTTAAAGGTAAAGGCTCTAAAGGGAATCTCAGCCTGAAATTGAGGAGGATTTTATGTCACCATCTATAAATGCAGCTATGGTTATCAAGCACAGTAGTTAAAACAAAACAAAAAATGGTGAAATCACGTTTGCTTCCCTAGCAGTGTCTTATATTCCCAGGCATATTTTTGCCAACTTACCAACACTTCAGAGTTATTTCACTACTAATAAATAAATCTCATAATTTGCAAAGGAGCTTTATGTATTTCAACACACAAGAATCTCCCAAACATAACACGGAGAGATGAAACACAAGTTCCAACAGATACAAATAGTGTGATAAAAACCAGAATGTGCACTGACTGTGGACACACACATGTTTAGGAAAAGTAAAATCTCACGTGGAATAATACTCAGCAACTTCAGGGAAGATGAGGGAGGAAGTAGGGAGAAAAGAGGCTTTTTAACTTTATCTCCTAAAAAAGGTGGAAAAACCCCAAAGCAAGTAGGGCAAAATGTTCATCTCCATTAATTCTAAGTGGTAGGTACATGGATGTTTGTTACATTATTTACTCTATGTCTGCAATATGTAATGATTAAAAGTAAAAGATTACAGACTTTCCTGGTGCTCCAGTGGCTAAGACTCCGAGCTCCCAGTGCAAGGGCTAGGGTTTGATCCCCGGTCATGGAACTAGAGCCCGAATGCCGTAACTAAGATCTGCTGGGGCCAAATAAGTAAATAAAAATATATTAAAAGTAAAAGATTATTTCAAAAAAATAACAATTATACATATATATATATATATATATAACATTATATATATATAAACATTTGCGATTTGGGGGCAGGGGAAGAGACTTTGATGAATGCACAGTGATAGAAATCAGGTCACTGGTTCCCTGAAGGCAGGGGTGGCCAGAGGGATGGACTGAAAAAAAAACACAAGGAAATCTGGAGGATGATGGAAATATTTTTAACAGTGGTGATTTCATGGCAAATACCCATGATAAAACCC